CCATACTGATGAGTCCTAATAGGACGAAACACTGTGTCTATGGATATATATATATATATATATTTATATAGAAATATTAGAAAGTGTGAATATATTTTCATATTTTATATTAAAAATATCTAGAATATTTCTGTTGAAAAGAATTTCTAATATTAAGTACAAATTGTGTCCTTCTGACTATATTTAGGAAGAGATTTTCTCACTCAGAATTTATCAATGTAACGTAATTCTTAGTGGCAGTTTAAGGAATTCCAAAACCCGTGCACAATGTTAGGGGTGTATATTTTCTCCAATTTTTGTCCCCCCCGCCATTTCGAAAATCTTTTTTTCCCATGAAGTTATATATTTGCCGGAGGGTAGTTTTTTCTTCTAGTTTTTTAATTCTCTAAATTAGGGAAAACAAATGATGTTTCTAGAGGAAAATAAATGAATTTTTGGGGGTGAAGTATCAAAAAGTATGGGGTGGGGTGTCATTCTAAAAAATATACATCCCTGTCTCTAACAAAGGTTTGAATTTTAGAACCTCCATATATCTGGTAAAATCAAGGATAGATCTAGAGCTATATTTGGGACTGGGGACAATCTCAAGATTCTAACAGTTACAGCTAATTCAGGTGATTATTATATTGCCAAGACAGGGATTATAGTATATTGCCAGGACAGGGATTATGATATTGCTAATTCAGGTGATTATTATATTGCCAAGACAGGGATTATAGTATATTGCCAGGACAGGGATTATGANCTCCCTGCGGTCGAACCCTCAGTCACAGGTTAGCGTGATTGTGACTAAATAAAATCATGTTTTAGTATTGATTTTATTGTTAAGTTTTTTCTTTTTAATAACTTGGATTTAGGGATGTATTTATTCACCTGTATCTGGATTGGGTTCAGCTGTTTCCAGATATCAGAGTCGTAACTCTGCCTGAACAAAGACTAATGTTAATGTGTTCTCAAGTCCCTATCTCTGGGACTAGAAGAGTTTGGGTTCCACATATCATTGTTTAATTCATGGCTTTAAGAGTTTTAAATACCTTTTAATGCTCTGGTTTATCTTGACTCAGGGCAGGTATTCTTGGATAAGCAGGTTGGTGCCCATGGTTTCAAGTGAGGTTTACATTCTTGTATTCAACTTCTGCAACATGAAGAATTGAATATTTATTGTTTCTCCGTTCTTGATTATTTATTTGGAGAATCACATTTTCTTTTCTTGATAAAATATCATTCAGGAAGATCTTCTTTTGTCCGGTGTTCCTGCAATCAGAACAAGTTTTGTTAGATTTTACATATATTGACATGACAAGGGCTTATAAGAGGGTTATAAATTATATTGCCATGACAGAGGATTATAGTATATTGCCAAGACAGGGAATTATAGTATATTGCCAAGACATGGAATCATAATAGTACATTGCTAAGACAGGGGATTATAGTTTATTGCAAAGACAGGTGATTGTAGTATATTGCCAAGACAGGGGATTATAGTATATTGCCAGGACAGGGATTATGATATTGCTAAGACAGGTGATTATAGTTTATTGCAAAGACATGTGATTGTAGTATATTGCCAAGACAGGGTATCATATTATATTGCCAAGACAGGGGCAGTACATTGCCAAGACAGGTGATTAAAGTATATTGACAAGACAAGGGCTTATAAAGTATATTGCCAAAACAGAGGATTATAAATTATATTGCCATGACAGAGGATTATAGTATATTGCCAAGACAGGGGATTATAGTATATTGCCAAGACAGGTGATTATAGAATATTGCCATAACAGGAAAGTATGGTATATTGCCAAGACAGGGGATAATTGTCATTGTCAGCTGGTAGATTATAAACTATACAATTCAGTTTAATATGTTATTCATTTATACTGAGAGGATAATTGTTATCTTTTTGCCAGTGCAGATATTTGTGTAATTGCCAAGACACGTGATCATGTTACTGCCAGTACAGATAACTGTCTTATTGTCAAGACATATAATTGTGTAGTTGCCAAATCTGGTAATTATCTATTACGAATTGCAAGACTGTTGATCATCATGTTATGTTAACTACAAAAGATGATTGTGTTCTTGACAATTATCCTTTAATCCACCTACGATCTGTAACTATCTATGAATTCACTATTGATCTACAATTATACATGAGTTCTTTGATGGTGTCTTCCATGAATTAACTAATGCGAAGCAAGTATCGATAAATCCACCATTAAACTGTGATTATCTATGAATCCACTTCAGATCTGTCATTATTTATGAATTCTCTAATGATCTGTAATTATCTATGAATCAACATTGATCGTAATTAATAATTATCTATGAATCAACAGTGATCTGTAATTAATAATCATGAATGAATCAACAGTGATCTGTGATTAATAATTCTCCATGATTCTACTGATGATCTCCCAATTATCTATTAATTTAGTGATGATCTCCAATTATCTATTAATCTACTGATGATCTCTAATTATCTATTAATCTACTAATGATCTCCAATTATCTATAAATCCAGCTAATGATCTGTAATAAATAATTATCTATGGATTAAGTTATGATCTGTAATTAATAATTATCTATCTATGAATCCAACTAATGATCTGTAATTAATAATAATCTATGGATCAAGTTATGATCTGTAATTAATAAATAATTATCTATGAAACAAGTTATGATCTGTAATTAATAATTATCTATCTATGAATCCAACTAATGATCTGTAATTAATAATAATCTATGGATCAAGTTATGATCTGTAATTAATAAATAATTATCTATGAAACAAGTTATGATCTGTAATTAATAATTATCTATTTATGAATCCAACTAATGATCTGTATACTAGGGTTTGTAAGAGCTGCAGGAGGACAAGGATTGAACCTGGCTGTAATTATTCATGAGTCTAGAGCACTAACTGAGGGAAAACAAATTAGGGAAACTTTTTAAAGATCATCTGTTGAAAATTTAAAAAAATCGTATAAATGAATTACACTGGAAATCTTCTTTAGCGAACTGTTTAGCAGATCCGTTTTAGAAACAGATTTTCAAATTAATAATCAAATTTTTTGTTGTTTTATTTTATTCCATTGAGTTTTGCAAAAAGAGTTTATAAAAGTTTTTGTTTATTTTAGAGCTTTAAATCTGAAGGAAATTGAAGAATTGAATATTACGTCACAGCATACTCAGGAAACCGTTGATAGTTCATGATACTTTGTTACTAGTAAGATCATGATAACCTGCATAGTTCATGAACCCTTACATAGTTCTTGATACCCTGCATAGTTTATGATACATTGTATAGTTCTTGATACCTTGCATAGTACATGATACCTTGCATAGTTCTTGATACCTTGCATAGTTCTTGATACTCTGCATAATTTATGATACCTTGCATGTAAAAGCATAATTTTTATATTCCTTTTTGAAACTTTTAAAGCAAAATTTTGTGCTATTAGATAATAATCTTAGTCCGTTGTTTATTTTATTTACAATCTATATAATAAAACAAGACATTCGTACATATATATGTTGCCGATTGGGCTGAATTTTTTGTGGACACTCATGGGTGGCCGGGGGTGTTATAGGCTTTAAAAAATCGAATTTTTTTCTTCATTTTTTTTGTTAAATTTTTTTTTCTTCATTTTTTTTCCACGAGCAATGCCTTCAGCTAGTAGCTCATATTTTGTTTCTTGGGAGTTGATGCAATTTCAATTTGCATTGAGAGGAAAAAATCATTTGATACTGTGTGGTGAAATAAATATTTTGATCTATTATTAAGTTTTGTTACTTTCTTTTAAAAATCATCTTTCACAATTAATTATCTCACAATTTTGAATAAAATATGTTAACAGTTTTTTATGTCATTTCATTCTTTTACTTCAAAAATATTTTCAGATAGAATGGGCGAGGAGTTCCTATCAGAATGTCTAGGTAATTTTATACTGATAGATAAAATTGTTAAAGTCATCTTAATTTTTAAATACAGGAATTGTCAACATTTTTTATAATAACCCTCCGTCAAAAATTTTAAATTAAGATTTAAGTCCAAACCGTCGCCCCTTTATCCTCTTCATTATGGATGTTTGGTACTTTCTCAAAAAGCATTTTTCCCAAGTGGCAACTTCCCAAATGAGCAATTTTCCAAGCTACAACTTCTCAAGTCTGTTCTAGTCTCAGCGCTCCGCCCCATAGCATGTTCTAGCCGCAGCGCTCGGCCCTCCAACCCATCCTAGCCGCAGCGCTCGACCTCTCAACCCATCCTAGCCGCAGCACTCGGCTCCCAATGCAGCCTACGGAGCCTCATAAGACCTAACATGTGGGAAGTTGCCCTTGGAAAATTGTTACTTGGGAATTGTACCTCGGGAAAATACCCAACACCTTTCTCATTGCCAGTGACGAAGATAAATTTTTTTTTTGGGGGGGGGGATTGACAATTCGCGGTGCACTCAAAGCATTTCTGAAAACACCCACAAAGTCACAAGAAGAAGGAAAAATTTTATTTTTCTTGATTTGTCCAAAAAAAGTTTCTTCGCAACAGTTGTTATGATAAAGGCGTACCATTGTAAGTCATTGTTAAAAAGCTTCACCTAAAATAACTTTAGCATTCTCTTTAAGTAACTGAGGTTATGGACCACAGTGAGCTTGGATATCAAGAATTTTTCACTAAGTTTTTGAAGAGCAACAAACCTTGTATAATCAGGAAGGCTTACATTGATATCAAGAAACATTATTAAATTATTAGACTTTTAGGAGCTTTCGAGCCCATTTTCTATTTTAAGTGTGAACATGAGATTTGGCTGATTTTAAAATGTTGTCAGCTCTCGACCCTTGGTTTCAATTTTCCTACCCATTTTATTTCTGGATATAAAGAATGGAAGTATGCGTTGTTTGTTCAGTTCTGGAGTAGGTCTCTTTACCTAAGTTGACAATCCACTACAGAACCTGTGTTGTATGAGTAGTTGGAAATAAATTGAATGAATTGTATGAATGATAAATCTATCTCAGGGGAAACAAGTATTCACAGTACAATCTATTTTTCTAGTATATTGTATATTAATAAAAACTAAAATAAAATAAAAACTATTTCCAAAAGTAGAATAGGAATCTTATGTTTGTCCGATCAAAACTCATGTACCCCTTGACCCATTTGAATGAGGAACTTGATAGAACCACGGGAATGTTCTCAGTTTGGTTTAAACATTCTAANCCATTTCCACCTTTGATATTCGAGGTCGAACTTTATATGGAAAGTTTAGTTCAGGGGTGCATGTTTTCCTAAAAAAACCATTTCCCCCCCCCCGCAGAATTGGGGAATGTAAATTATTTTGTTTGAAGAAAAAATATCAAAAAGAATGAAAAAACTTGCCTTTTGATTTCAATTTTTCAATTTTTTTCCCCAATTTATCATAATTCATTCCCTCAAGAAAATCAGGTTTCCAAGCGACTAAAACAATAATGCCCGTAATGCTACTAGTGAAACGGGCTTAGCATGGATTAATTCCCAGATATGGAACAACAATGTTGAAGAAATTAAATTCTGCAAAGAATTTGGTCTAATGGGGCAAAATCAACTTATTCAAATGAATTCAGAACTACTCTCTTAGCTATTTAGGAAAATGGTGCTGCATGTATGAGAATTTTTATATAGTTTTTAAATCGATAAATGTTGAGGGTATTTTGATGAAATTTAAATTGAATTCCTGATATTTATTGCAATCTTCTTTCAGATCTCGTCTCTTATAATCTTATAATCTTATCCTTCATTTAGCAATTTCCATCGCCGATCTTATGTTTTGATAAAAAGTATAAAAAATGTAAAACAAAGGAACTATCTGGAACATTTTTCTTGGAACGCTTGCAAGGATTGGGTAAAGGAGGAGGAACCATGCCTGGATTTCTTTCTGGAACACCTGTCACCAGAACATCAGGTACCAGGAAGGCTTCCTAAAATCATGGAACACACCCTTTATTCCTTTAAGAACACGGAACGCTTAGTACACATATTTTCACGGAACCTTAGTACAAGATTATTTAAACCAATAGAACTCTAAGCAAAAGCCTATATAAGAACTTAAAAAGTGTAGTTAAAGACGAAAAAGTGTACTTAAAGACTAAAAAGTGTACTTAAAGATTAAAAAAGTTTACTTTAAGACTAAAAAGAAACAAGTAAACTTTGAACTGCATAGTCACAGATACTTTTGAAACATATATGCATATCAATTAAAAGCTAGGAACCCCAGGAACACAGTAGCAGCAGCGAATCCAGTGTTAGACCATCTTATGACCTCTAAGGACCTCTAATGACCTCTAATGACCTCTAAGGACCTCTAAGGACCTCTTATGACCTCTAAGGACCTTTAAGGACCTCCAAAAATAAAAATGTATTAACTATGGCTTTAAGCATATCAAACGAAAGCTAGGACTCAGGGAATACATGCCTAAAGCCATATTTAAATATTTTAATGGAGGTTATTATAGATCGTTTTAGGTCATTAGAAGTTCAAACAATAGATTTGTTGTTGCCATAGTATTCCCTTGGTTCCTAGCTTTCGTTTGATATACATATTATGGTTAAAAGATTTTCAATTTTGGAGGTCATTAAAGGTTGTTCCAGCTACTGTATTTTGGAGCATAATCATAACTACATGGGAACATAATCATAGATACATTGGAACAAAATAACAGATATTTTGGAACATAATCATTGATACATTGGAACAAAATAACAGATATTTTGGAGCATGACTCATAGATACAGTGGGACATAATCAGTGATACATTGGAACATAATCATAGATACATTGGAACACAATAACAGATGTTTTGGAGCATACTCATAGATACAGTGCAGTGGGACATAATCATAGATACAGTGGAACATAATCATTGATAAATTTCTAGGTTCCTGTTTACAGTTGTGGTGAACGGTATTTTAACTCTCAGGTACACACGAACATTTAATTTTCTATTCTTAAGAGAGAAAAAACTGATATTAATTTTGATATATCTCAAGAAAAATGATATTGATTTTTGATTAGGTCTGTATAACGGAAACTATTGGAGAATATAGGAAGGTATTAGATTAATAAAAGGAAAAAAGCTCTTAATTTTTTTTCACTTAATTTAGTTCATTGGGGAATGACATTTTTTTGGGAAAAGGTTTAATGACTTATTAAAAGTTTAATGTTTTTCGTTCTTAATAGGGTCAATAAAAATCTGGACGATATATTTTGAATTGTTTTTTCTTATAAGTTTGCTTTTAACACGTATATTATCTCTGAGCCAAGAAGATATGAGCAGGAAAAAAAAACCATATGAAAATAAATTTATTTTATTTTAAAATTTATCTAACATTTTGGTTCAGACAAAATTTTTAAATGATTACCCGAAAGGATAAGACTGTTTCGCAACTGGCGTTGCCCTAGTTTGTATAAAAATAGTACCGAGTTGAACTCCTTTGAACCGAACCGTAAGCACTCCGTTGCTCAATCCTCCTCATGTTGAATAAATACACAGGATAGGGCTTGAACTTTATTTCGGATTAGCAGCTTCAGTCTAATGAACAAGGAACATTTATATCTCATGGAAAAAGCATTGAGGGTACAAGAAACAAATAAAGTATCCCTCAGGCATTAAAAACCATGAACAACCCAATATTTATCATACGATTACTTACAAAATTATTTCTCAAGGATACATATTGAATATAAGAAATAAATATTTTAGAACTTTTTCTTGAAAACATTGAGTAGAATGAAAATAACATTTAAACATATTTACCACAGTCATTCGCAGGGTTTTCAGCACGAAATATTAGCACACTTTACGAATTCCAACTATATACTAGCACAAACGTTTTACTATAAATCCGTCCAATACACAAACTGCGCTTGCGCAGTAAAATCAAAACATACAAAATAAAACAAGTTTCTCCTCGTATTCAATTACTTCCAGAAACATCTGTACAGAATACTCTCTCGTCACAGGGGCGAACAAGAATCCCCCATTGAGCAGGGGCGTACCATAGACATGGCTCGCGTAACAAAGACTTAAGACGACTATACGGAATTTATACTGTCTGTTTTCCTTAATGCATGATTTCCTGGAACAGGGTGTCAAAAAAAAGGCTTCACACTTTTTTCTCTCATCAGGCTTATTTATTATCCGATCATACTGGTATTAATATCACATTGTCTCTGTAGGACTACATGGTTAAACAATCATCGGATTTGGTCGACCCTGTTCTGAATCTCTTGGGAGGAGTTTTTGAGCAGCCTACCCGGCTAGGATTTCCTATTCTCGCCACACTGCTTTAGATGATATAGATTTCATATTTTTTCCTTGCAACCTTCTTGTTTGCCACGGCCCAAATATTTTCAATTATGGGCCGGACATTATTTAAGTTCTTGTCAGGTGTAACCCAAACTTTGATTTAAGTTTTTTCATAAGAGGCTGGCATGGTTGTGGTGTCTGTTTACAAGGTTTAGTCTGGCCTCAATAGAGTTTGAAACCCCCTACTCAAAAATTACGAGCCCGCGTGGCCTAATGGATACGGCGTCGGTCTCCTAAACCGAAGATTGTGGGTTCGAATACAGTAATAACCAGAAAACAATGGACAAGATGACATGTAGTATTATTTAAGTGTACACCCTGTTCCAGGAAATCATGCATTAAGGAAAACAGACAGTATAAATTCCGTATAGTCGTCTTAAGTCTTTGTTACGCGAGCCATGTCTATGGTACGCCCAGAGTTGATAGGATAGTTAGATATACTAATTTTTGCAATAGAATATGGTTCCATCAGCGTATAGTATTGGTCCCCTGAAGCTGTTCTCCTTGTTAAAGGAGAAGGGAAGGAACTGGGTCTGAATTTACCTGGAAATTGTGGTTTACAGTGTCCTCCAAATTGGTGTTTGGTCATATTAGCTCCACCCATCTGTTAACTAACAAAGCTTTAAAGAGTTTAGGCTTATATTGGACACCTTTAAATAGACTTTGTCGTTTTTAAGCAAGTTCTGGACCTCCTTTAGCTTTGTTAATGTTCTTTTGCAGGGATGCTGATCAGTTTCATTCAGAGCAGTGTTGACCAAATCCGATAATTTTTTATCCATGTTGTAGTCCTACAGACATTGTGATATCAATTTCATTATGATTGGATGATAATAAAGCCAGTGAGAGAAAAAAGAGTAAAGTTTTTTTAATACCCTTTATGAACATTTTCTTTTTTTTTGCCAAATCATTGAATAAACCAATAAAAGACCACATTCACGGCAGAAGGCTTAATGTACACTTGCAAATGTTATATATTTAAGAGTTTCCAATCGTATTTTCCGTATCCGTATCCCTGTATCATCAGAGCTGAAAACTTTAGAATGGGATATCCTTAATCCGGATCAGTTAAATAATCTGGAGATTAATAACAACCATTATTTAATCTTGAGATTAAGAAAAAGAGTGGATCAAGCATTAATCCCGATATCGCCAATTCAAAAGTTTCCAGCTCTGGTATCACTTTGTTTCAGTATTGGGGATCTCCCAGACATCAAATAAAATATTTAAAAGGAAGATTTTAATTTTTATCATGTTAAATGTCTAATTTGCATCTATGTTCACTGTACAGTCCCACCCCCACACACTTTTTGTTTCTCTGTAATCTTCGGGGTTTTTTTTTGCTGTTTGTTGTTATGTCCTATCATAACTTATGAACCCCTGGACAAATTTGACTTATATTTTGAGAATCTCGTTAGAACCATAGGGATGATGAACTTGGTTTTAAAGTTCTATGTTGAGTGGGTTTACTATTCCCAAGGAAAGTTCAGTTTTTAGGTGAAGCTAATATTGTTAAAATCTTGGAATATTTTTTACAAAAAATCCATGTGTGAAATGATCAGACTTTTAACTCTTGGTCACTGAAGAGAAAGTATGTCAAGGCTTATTGTTTCACATATATTGTACTAGCTTGGGAACCCAGCTTTGCCTGGAAACTAAGCTAATATAAGTTGACCAAGAATTTGTAAGCCAGGATAAGAACATTCCCGAGATTCTACCGAGTTCCCCAATCAAAATTAGAGCAAATCGGTCTAGGGGTTTATGAGTTATAATCGGACAACTAACAGATATTACGACTTTATATATAGCATGAATCATTTTGAATTAAAATCTTCTTAAAGATTGGCATTTTCTGAAGGAATCGAAGGAATACCTAGATCTTAAAAACTACAGGTTAAAAGAAATTGATTTTGTAGATTACAGTAATAATAAATAAAAAATTAAGAAATTTTATGAAACATTTTTATTTTTAGTTCATACACAACACCAATATACTTCTCTTCGGATTGGTTAAATGAATGGCTTGAGTTTAGGGATTTAAGGTAGAATTTCACCTCAATACTGCCCCCACCCCGCCATTTCCACCTTTGATATTCTAAACTCAAATTATTTGATGTAACAGAATTCATTAGTTTGAAATAGTACGTTTTTAGGTATACTATCCAATGATTCTTTATTGTATCATTATATGTAAAAAAGTAGTAATATATGTTTGTTTCTCTGTTTGGAAGTCATAAGCTTAGTTTAACAATTTTAATATAACTGGTTCGACGGTTATAAAGAAAACTAAAGGCAAAGGTGGGTGCCCAAGCTATGATTTTTTAAACCTTCTCTACGAAGTCCTAACATTCCAGAGATGGAACTTAAAGAATTTGAGCTGCGGTTTAATTTCCGCCAAAACCCGGTTTGAATTAAGCGCCGGCTAAAATCTTGATACATTTGATACAATTTTAAGTGGAACCAACCATATTTAAACCGCGGCTTAAATTTAAACCGCCGCTCAAATTCTTTAAATTCGGCCACAGGCCCGGTAAATCCATAGATTTAACCGATATTTGAACTTATACCTGATAACAGAATATTGCTGTTACATTATTATTAAATAGGTAAATGTATATTTTCCATACCAAGTATATACACAATATTTTAAAATATCCAGACACCAGAATTTTACATAAAACTTTTAAGGTTGCATTTCGTCCACTTTGGGTGTCGTATTTCAATATATTTGTACTAAATTAAGATCTAAGATTATTCAAATTAGTGTTTTTGCTACTAACTCAGGTTCTATAATCCCTTTATCTTTGGAACCCAATATTGTAGACCTTAGATATTTCAAACAATTAATTCTGTTAGATCAAATAATCAAAGTTTGAAATATCAGGGTGTAAAGACAAAGGGATTTGAAAATTTAAGCTTGAACCTAAGACTCAATTCCTGTATAATTCAATCTTTAATAAAACTGTAAGCCCTTGATTTCGTGTCATACTTAGCAGTTTTAGTGGAAAATGAAAAGTGTATATAATGCGAAGTATATGATTTTTAATGATGACATGAAATATGAAACCTTTTATTTTCTGTCGAAACTGAGAGAGATATTGCAGTTTTTATGACCAGCAGCTTGAAACCTTCATTGCAATGTACATTGTTACACAAGCTGCAAATATGACGTCTGCAATTTTGACCCAAATCTCCAGAGATTTGATGTATACAGAGCTGAAAACTTTAGAATGAGATATTCTTAATCACGATCTCGCTTAATCTGATTATCCAATGTACTCACTTTTGATTTTCTCCTTAATCATCTTTTTTTTGATATCCCTACTGTATAAAAGTAACGTTTGATAACAATTACAGATACAATGCTATATCGATTGGACTAATATCCGATTGAATTAAAGTCAGCTGTTTACAAGCAGGCTTTTAAACAAATATAAATTTAATCATGTTAATACGAAATTATTAAACAACATATTTTATCACATTTTAGGACTATTGTCATTTTGAACGTTAGTCTTAATAAACTGTAACGGAGTTCAAAGTGCATATTTTTAGCAAAGAATGTCAGATCATGGTTGGAATCAATTATTTCTGTAAATGGGAACTCTGCTGGGTGTTTTCTACAGCTTAAAGCAGTTCCCTACAGAAGCAGCATTCTACAGTTCTGCTCCAGACAGCTCTAAAGGTTCATCTACACCTACAGCTTAAAGCAGTTCCATACAGAAGCAGCATTCTGTGGCGGTTATGAAAGTCGTCCTTCTTGGAGAATTCTCCGCGGCAGCTGAGAAGACTAGGGGGAGTTTCAAGAGCCACGTAAGATATATAAATCATGTGAATATAGCTTATAACTTTTTACCACGTATCTTAGATAAAAATATATAATCAGTTAGTCGTGAACCTTTGTAGTTATTTAGCTGATCGCCAAAATTCTACGGTTCTGCTCGAGACTGCTCCCTGTTCTGAAGACTCATCAATTCCAGCAGTTGAAAAGCTCCCTAAATCCCCCCACAGAAAGTAAAAACGCTCCTATATATTCCGTAACAAGTTTTAACCAATAAACATTTTTCAACCCCCACCATGTATCATTTAGTTAGACCTAAGGGTTTAACAAAACATTAATCCAAATTTACTTTCGTTCAATCGATGTTTAGTTCAATTGATATGACACCATCTACACCAGAAAAAAAAACTGTTTTTCAGAAGTTAAAGAGTACATCTTAACATGACACGCTGATTGGTTAAATTTTAAACTTCTTTCTTGGATATCGAATGCATATTAAATTCTAACATTTTGTTATGCAAACTTAGAATTAAATTGAAAGCATTTTGAATTTCTTGTTGACAAGATAGAACTTTGAAAATAAATTAAATCATAAAAAATGTCACGATCCTTGAAGGGTATTGTTTTTCAAGAGTGCAAGTGAAAATTGTTCAATAAGCAAGCTTTTGTTTCCAGAAAATTATTAAGTTTATCCCAACACATTCTATTAGATTTACTAAGAGAAAAAACTTTCTAAAATTAATAACTAGAAAGATTATTTTGAATGATTTAAATAAAATATAATTAATTCAATTTTTTTTAAGAAACGAACATGATTTAGAAAATTTGACAGATTATAAGTTTGTGTATATCGGTCCTCAGGTGATTATTTTTTAAGGAATGTTTTAGTTTCTTACTAAACGTTGAGAAATCACCGGAAAAAAGTTAAAAAAAATTACAACACAAGTTTTATTGAATCAAAGTTTAACCTTATGAATGACAAAATGAAAGGAAATGTTTTATCAAATATGATCGTAGATATCCTGATATCTTTATTTTTCTATCTTATACTTTCGTAAACAATGCCTGAAATTGTCTGCCCATATGTTCTAAAACAATATTTTACTAATTTAGTCAATTATGTTGAATGAAATCTATATATATATATATACTTTGCTTCTATCTCTGTTTGTTTGTATCCTTTAAACGTCAAAACGACTGAACCGATTGGGCTTTAATTTTGTCTGAGACCTCACATGACCCCAGGGAAGGCTCATGTATGCTCAGAATTTCAAAAGGTTGTCTCCTTTAACGCCTTTTCTAAAATAACTAGGCTTTTAGAGCGCTTCGCGCCCATCTTCTATTTAAATTGTGAACATGTTTTTTTTGTTGACATTTTAAAACAAAGAAGAAAAAAATTTTGCGGATTTTTAAAAAAAAAAATCGCGGATTTTCATGAATTAAATTTTTTTTTACAAAATTAAAAACCTTTAAAACACATTTTTTAAANAGAAAATTTCAACAGCCTCAGACCAATACTTTTTGAGTTATGTAAAAAAAACTACAGGGGGGGGTCAAATTGACCCCCCCCCCAGCGGGAATAGGGTTAAAGACTTTGGAAGTTCAAGTTTAGGTTCGGTTAAAGGTTAAGGTTTGGTTCAAGATCAAAGAGTTTGATTAAATATATGTTTAGGTGTGAAAAGATGGATATTTTTGGCACCAGGAGAGGAGCACAAAGTAACATTTCATTGATTTATTAACTTTTATTTTTAAACTTTTATCTGCCTAACAATAACGAAGATATCGTTTTTCTGTCCGAATTTAATGAATTTAAGCCGCGTCTCAAATCGCCCAAAAACCGGTTTCAATTGAGCGCCGGCCTAAATCTTGAAAAATGTAATACAATTTTAAGTGGAACCAACCATATTTGAGCCGGGGCTCAAATTCTTTAAATTCGGCCTCTGTTATCATAACTTAATGTGACTTTAAATCTTCATGCAAAGATGTCAATGCCCTATTAACAACGGTTCCCTTGAAACCTTAATCTGATAAAAAATGTGGAAGATGCCGTCGTTCTTCTGACTAGAAAAGTGTTTAATTCTGTGAGTTTCTCCATCGCTTCACATATTATAAACAAGAAAGGCACAAGTCACATTCGGAGAGAAACCGCAAATGAAAATAAAAAGTTTAAAGGAACAAAAAATTGATTTAATTCATACTTCATCAGACAAAGCTTTTAAGGGTAGTGAGGGTACCGTTATAATCGGGCATTAACATTTTAACATGGAGGGTCACTTGAAAGTCCCTTTAAGTCCCTTTAAGTTCCCTTAAAAAATTCTATCAGTTTTTGTGCTTAGGTTGAGACACGACCCGGGACTTACGTATATGATATTTTAAGTAATGAGTCACTTAGTCTACAGGTGAGTCCACTCTACATACNACCAAGTATATAATTTAGGATGGTTCCACCAAGTATATAATTTAGGATGGTTCCACCAAGTATATAATTTAGGATGGTTCCACCAAGTATATAATTTAGGATGGTTCGACCAAGTTTATAATTTAGGATGGTTCCACCAAGTTTATAATTTAGGATGGTTCTACCAAGTTTATAATTTAGGATGGTTCCACCAAGTGTATAATGAAAAGGATGCTCTGTCAATAAATCACAATTGGTTGAATGCTGCGAATATTAATTATATTCTTACAATTCTTAATCAACAGCTAGCAAGGAAAGAACAATTATTAATGTTTGATGGATGTTGAATAAAATGATTTAAGTTGTAATTTTTAAGTGACAGTTCACTTTTCAAATGGCCAGAGTATCCGATTGTCAGATTCACAAGGGGTACGCTTAAAGGGAGTGACCGGCTATGTAAGGTAGTTAAACTGAGTATGCAGTGTTGTGGAAAACTTCTTTCGAATTTATTTGAGACATATTAAACTTTTTAAAGATCTGTAAATCCTGAGTTTGCATACTCAGTTCAACTACCTTACATAGCAGGTCACTCCGTTTTAACCATATTCCGAGGGTCAATGAAGATAATATATCCATATTTTATTTAAGATAGAAAAAAAGGATATCATTTAATGGGTTCCATTGTGGATCGAGCATGCCAGGTTGGAAATGACTACAGTCTCTTTAATTTTGAAAAGTTATTTTTATGGTTTTGCTAGCTATACTAGCTAGTTTTTTTATTTAGATGTTTTTTTTTTAAATTTGTGTTGCATTTTGAGAAAACTGTTAACAGTAGAATGATTTGTCTACTAGAGTTTAGAATTTGTTTAAATTTCGATTGCTTAGTGTTGTACTAAGTAAATATGAAAATTTATAAAAACAAAGAAAAAAATTGTCGTCTTCACTCTTCGCTGTCTATGTAATTTACAAGGCTAATTTCTAACGAAGACGATCTCGAATTTGTCAATCAATCTCGCATGTTTATTGGGACACCCTGTACATGGTATGATGCAAATATAAACTTTGGAAGAAAAAAATAATTGGTCTGGGTCTAGAGTAGAGTCTGAAATTAGTGACTGTAGAGACGATAACGAGTGGACGAGTCTTTGTCAAAACTTATTAAGGTAACTTTTTGGTCGGCTATCTATCGTCTTTTGTAATACGAGCTGAAGTGCCCGGCGTTGCCCAGGTTTATATTATTATTCATATTCATTAGTCATAAGTACTTCTGCCGTTTACCCGCGATTTGTATGGAAGTATGATTTTAACTGAAGTGCGTTGCCCGTGGATTTTTAAAAATATCAATTTAAAAATGCAGCCAAATTGGTCTAGCCGTTTGGCCCCCTATATTTATTTATATATATATATATTTATGATTATATGTATATACATATATTTATTTATTATATAAATGTATTATATAGATTTTTGATGATTGTCGGTTTTTATGTAGAACGTAACTTGACAAGAATTAATTACCACGACAATCTGTGTAATTTGATGTAGAAGAGTTAATATACAGTGGTTGGCGATTATATCAATACAACAATACAATGAAAACGATTTTTTTATTAAGTTTTTATTGTCGAGAAGCTTTTATTCTAATTGCAAGCTAACAAGTAATCAAAGAGAAACTTTTTCAATTGACAGCTTCTCTTAATTTCTATGTGTATCCATGCTGTTTAACAGCTTGATAAAAACTGAAATCGAAAGTCGTCTTTATTGTACAGATATAATCGCCTACCATTGTATGATACTGATATTTGGAAATACTAATATTTTAGAACAAAATTTTAATCTTTGAGAAAAACGTAGTAAAAGTGAAAAAAATTTAAACCCTTAACAATGTTAGAATTTAAACAAAATATTATAATGTTGTGTATTCAGGGAGCATCATGGAATGAATCACTTGGATTTTCTAGATATGATCAAGTGCATCATGGAACGAAGGTTTGTTGTTTAATCAGTGCTTAGGATCTGGATCCATTGGATCCGCAAGATTTTGGCTTCCTGGATCTGGATCCGCAAAAAATGCGGATCCACGGATCCGGTTCCAAGGTTTAAAATATCAACTAAAACTGCAAAAAAAAAAATGTTTTTACTCCTAAAACCCCAATCTGAACTTTTGAAATAGAGAGATCATAAAATTTACTCATTTCTGAATGGTTCACCAAGGTTTAGGATAAAAATAAGCGTAAAAAGATAAAACAAAAATTTGAAAATTATTTTTTGTTAAAATTTTTTTGTAAATCTTAAAGAAATGACCTGGATCCGGATCCGCATCAAAATTAAATGGATCCTAAGCACTGAATGATTTTTTAAAAACAATATTGAGACCGACATTTTTAAATCTTTTCAATTTTCACCTAATTGGTTTCCTTCCCCAGGGCCAAGAAAAATATAGACTAGGAACTGATTTATCTGATGCGTCAAATCCGCGTACTGCAGTGGGAGGAGATCAAAACAAAGAATCCAGGGGCAAAACATCATTCACGTTGGGGGGGGGGGGTTATGAAGATCTGTGGCTTAAAATCTTGAAATTATAATTAAAGGCAGGAAAGTGGAAAGACAATTAAAAAAGAAATAGTCAAAATGATTTCTTCGATATTTACTGTCACAACACAAGTTTGAGAACATGACTGGTGTTTCTCAAAGCTTTGGTCCAACTCTAACGCCGGTTGTGTGAGAACTGAGTTTCAAATTTGTTTATATTGCTTCCAGACATTACAGTTCACACTTTGCGTACATTTGAGTTGGGTGTATTTAGTGGTGTAGACTGTAGTTCCTTGCTCCTGAGCCCGAATTAAAGAATTTGAGCCGCGGCTTAAATTCATTAAATTCGGACACTGGCCGTCTGACATACTTATTTTGAATAATTTCTTTATCATCTCTTGGTGGATTCTACTTTTAATCCCGAAACTATATCTCAACCAAAAGTTTTGTCCTCTAGTTAAATTTCTTTTAATTTGAGGATGAGTATGGAAGAAAGTGTTGAGACTGAAGCTGACCTAGCCGCTGGAGAATCTGTTCTCAAAGAACTTATTACTGTATTCACTAATATTGGACTGGAGTCGAAACTAGCAGAATCCTCTAGTTTACTTCATCAAATCAATTCATATTTAGAGAACAGAAAAATATAAATTTGTGCAATGAATATTTTTAATCTTGGAATAGAAAACTTGATAATTTTGTTTCTGAAAGCAGTGGATTTATCAGAACATTTCTTTTTATAATTATCTGAATTATTTGTCAGTTTAAGAGCAATTGCATTTTTTCCAGCACAAAAAGATGAAGAATGTTAAGACAAGTCTAAAATGATAAAAGATAAGAAAATTCTATTTCAGAATAGATAAGTGCTAAAAATGGGAGTCAGCTAAACCTCTGGAATAAATCCTTAACATGAGTCAGGAAATAATTTAGAATTTTCCTCAGAAGTTTATTTTATAAGTTCAGTTTTATAACAGTAGAACCTGCTTCTATTATTGAAAATTGGGGGTGCATACTGACCCCCCCCCCATATATGTTTGTAAAAAAAAAGTATACAAATTTAAGATATAAATTTAGCATTTCTTGATTTTCAATGAAGAATAAATTTTTTGATACAATAACTCCTGAAATTTTGTTTGTTTGTAATTCAAAGCCTAATATTTTTTTTAGATGCTTCTAAAATCCTAACAGAGGAAAATCACATTTTAGTATTTTCTTTTTGAAACTTGTGGTGAACCCAATATTCACAATCCACATTTTTGTATGGTTGAAATTTTAACCGTTAATTTTTTCAGTGTAAAAAAAACACAAAATCAGTTTAACATTAACAAACTGGGTTTTAGCATTTTTTTTTTTTTTGGGGGGGGGGGGGCTGGCCGAATGGTTAATCCTAATATTTTTTTACTTTTATCTCAAAGCTTAGATGAAATAATGTCGCAATGTGTTCTGAAATGGGACGATTGCGGAACTGAACTAGATTATTTGATCTGGTTCACCTTTTGGTTAATTTTTGTGTGGAAAAGTTGAAATTATTTGTAACGGAATTACAGGACCTGTCATCAGATATACCTAGACTCTCCATAGGTTAGTACTTCTAGGCTTCTAGGGCGCTTCGCGACCCTTTTGTAATAATTTAAACTGACAAATGTTACCTTCATTGAAATAAAAAAATTAAGTTCGATTCTAAATTTAACGATTTTTCTGTTTTCTTAAGGGATTTTTTAAAATGGTCGTTTTTAAAAACGATCGTTTTTAAAAAGGACGCTTCGTTAACGACCTTTTAAAGAGAATATACATTTGTATAGGAAAAACCGAGGTCGTAAACATTCAGGTTTGTTTAAAAAAAAAATTCATAACCTTATCTTTCTGAAGAAAAAATTGAAATAAACTGTCAAAAAACTTGGATTCATTAGCGAAATTTATTTTTAAGAACGATCGTTTTTTTACGTTTTGAAAGTTCAAAACAAGTTACTTTTGGAATTTTAGGAATTATTCTTGTATGTTTCAATTTAAGTTTTTCAAAAATGTAATTTATCATAGTTTTAACAATGTTCACAAACATTTATTTTTATTTAGTTTTTTGTTGGATAAAATATCGGTATTAAATTTCGTCTTAAATTCTGCTTTGTAATATATTTCTATTTCTATCTAAAAGAATATGAATTGCAGAAAAGTTTAATGGAAAAATCTATTCATGAGATAATTAAGCATTTTTACTCTAACTTTAATTTAAAATGACGGATTTAAAGATAATATCATGTTGTCTAGAAACTTTTTATTTGACTGATAATATTGGTTTTATTTAGGTCTGGGCAACATTCCGTTATTGAACAGCAAAAACCGTTAATTTTAAAATAGTTAATTTTTCTGCAAAAAAATGACTTAAATTTGCTGACATTTTTTATTTGTTTTGATTATTTTATGTGTTTTTATGTTGTTGAATGTCGTCTTCTAATTGCTTTGCTAGTTTTCAGTAATCGTTATTGGCTAGCGCTATAATGGATTTCTAAAATATCTTCCGTTAACGCCGTTCATAAAATTAGGATCGTTAAAAAGAATAAAAATATCCGAACTGATTGTTTAGTTCTAAATTCTAAGCTAAGAACGATCGACAACGTGAAAAGTTGGAAAGAGTTTAAACGCTAACAAATCATTTTTTTAAAGTCTTAATGTGCCCAGCCCCGGTGTTAGGAAATATGTATTTACAGTGGTAGGCGATGATATCAATACAAGGAAGACGTCTTTTGATTTCAATATTGATTTATAACAAGCTGTTAAACAGTATGGATACGCATAGACATAACTTTTAAAAGAAACTGTCACCTAAAAAATCGTCTCTTTGATCACTTGTAGACTTTTAATTCGAATAATGCGTATTAACAATCAAAAGTCAATTCAAAAAGTCGTCTTCATATATTGATATTATCGCTTACCACAGTAACAAAATGTCACTGTCAGCTGTAGAATTGTTGTTACATTTTTCGTCGTCGTTATTAATTAAAAATCAAAAATCAAGTCTTCAAAATAGACAGCTCGGGAAATTAAAAAAATCATGACTTTGTGCTCTTACTTAGCAGTTATACACCCTACGAGCGTCTTTTAGGTCTAAAATCATCTTTGCAAAAATGCACTATCAGCTCATCTACCCTGTCCAGCCAGACACTCCCTTATATGATCTTGGAATTTATTTCCAACTATTGAGATAATACTCATGATTCATTTTGTGGTTAGAGTGTTAGGATTATAGAAATCCTCCACTTATAACAATCTGATTTTATTCAACTATAAAACTGATTTTATTAAACTTTGAAATACTGCGGTATCCTCAAAGTAAACTATAAATTGTGATCAGTGAGTATTTTCTCGTCGTAAAAAATGATTTCTGGAAAAATAGGATCGATTTTTTTAAGCTTATGTTCCCCCAGGGTATCCATGGGTTACTTAAAAAAATGTCAGTCCATTTAGTCTAGCAATGGCTAACATATAATTATTTTTTAGATGTCAAAAAATTTTGGGCCCAATCAGTTTAGCCGTTATTTACGTTTATTGGATACAAACAAACTAACAACCAAAGAATATAATATTTGTTAAAGGTGAGAATGAAGAAAATGAGACTGAGATGAGTAGAAATAAATCCCCATCTTCCAACCCTTCTGGGTTTCTGGATCCAATGGATTCTCATGAAATAAGACCTGTTTCTCCAGACAGTGGCAGGTAGTGTGAAATAAGACCCATTTCTCCAGACAGTGGCAGTTAGTGTAGATTCTCATGAAATAAGACCCGTTTCTCCAGACAGTGGCAGGTAGTGTTGATTCTCTTGAAATACAACCCGTTTCTCCAGACAGTGGCAGGTAGTGTTGATTATCTTGAAATACAACCCGTTTCTCTAGACAGTGGCAGGTAGTGTTGATTCTCTTGAAATACAACCCGTTTCTCCAGACATGTTTATTTTTCATTCCTCCTTGTTTTTGAAGTCTTTAAATTGTAATGAGTTGGTGCAAAGTATCCTTTCGCTGTTTTCCTTGGTTATTCAGTAAAAAGTTGTTAAAAATTTTTATATGCAATTTTTGTTACTATTTGTGTAAAGAAGACACTTCAAAAAATGCTTTAACTCAGAAATTAAAGAAAAGAAATTCTGCAGATATTTACATATTTTTTATTTCTTTCTCACAATTTTTGAAATCTTCATATTTCAACAAAAGAAATTTTTTACAATTTTTTTTATCTAGTTTCACCTTTTATTTTGCTAGTATGAGAAGTATGAATTCCTGTCGTACCGACCAAGAGCCTACAGAACGTGGCAAGATGGATGTGGTTGTAGTTCCAGCAACAATACATAGGTAGACAGACAGACAGACAGACAGATAGATAGATAGATAGATAGATAGACAGACAGACAGACAGACACAGAAAGACACATACAGACAGACAGGAAGGCACTGTGGCAGACCCTAAAACTAAATTTGAGTTAATTGACTAATTTTATTTTATAAAATGTTGTAAAAATCTACCAATCTTGACGAAAATCTGCCATTTTTAACGACCAAATGTCAATATCGATGAAATATGTATGCCAATTTTAAATATTTTTTCTAGGAAGGGTTTTAATTTAATTTTAAGTGACAGATTTTTTAAGCTTTAGGATTTGAAAATAATTCTGTTAAAAAATTATGACGACGGGGGGGGGGGGGGAAAAAGGAAATACTAAAGGGGGTCTTTATATTTTACTCGTCTGGAATATCGTCTTTCTAATTCATAATTCAATGGGTCCCACTATATACAGTTTAGTAAATACAGAAGTTAGAATATTTCATACTTACGTTTACTCTCCTTTAATTAACTTCTCTTATGTTAATCAAAATGTGGGATTAATATATTGTGGAGAAAATAAAAAGAATTAAAGGAAAAAAGAAGAACTATTTTTTTCTTTTCCTGTTTAAAGGGACTGTTGGCGGCATTTCAAAAGAAATATTGCCACGAGTATATAACTTAAATTTATATTATATATAATTGTTTATGTATCTTTAATAGGTTTTTATTTCTGACATCTTCTTCAATTATTTCTAAGACTATAAACCATAATTGAAAATAAATCAAAGAAAAGCTAATGGATATCACATGCATTCTTCATTGCAAACTATAAGTTGTCTATATCACTATTTAATTCTAGAGTCGCTTGAAATTTACTTTTAATATCCATTACAATTCATTTGAACTTGTTTAGGTCTAACTCCCAGATGGATTCCAATATGGCGGCCTACGATATGTATCGTCTTCCACGGTAAATATTGTCGAGTGTCGACGGTTGTCAACGAAGTTTTCGAAGATTTATTACATTGACGAAATTATGTTCTTTGATGAATATTCGTTGCCTTTGAACAACGTTTTCCTGGTAAAAATGGGAATTAAAAGACAGCTTTTAAGGCGTCTTTCACATTCGATAATTAATAGATACATTTTACTTAATATTTTATCTAATAAATTGTGATTTGTACCACTCTTTTAACGCTACTGTCAAGTTTGAAGATTTTGTCGGCCACATTTTGGAATTCCAAGAATATATTTTTTCAAATTTTATGGATTACACCAATTTATGCAATAACGATACAATTCCGTAATAATTGAAAATTAATTTCCAAGTCGTCATGAATTTTGGTACACCCTGGTCTTTCTAGTCTGTACGATAGTTTTTGGAAATAGTTCAGACTTTGGAGTTGAAGAACTTCCAACGGTTCTGCTGACCATTACAAAGCATTCAAAGAAATTCAAACTTTTAAAATTTTAAGTTGAACTTCTGGGGTTTGACTACCTGGGGGGGGGTTGTGAGACGCTTAATCCCCCCCCCCCCCCTCCTCTTTTTCTTGCTTTTTCTTAATTTGATATTTTCTAATGAATTTAAATGAAATTAATTGTGAATCTCTTTCAGAGGTCTGGCTGTTATTATCGATATTGAGGTAAGAAAACAAAAAGTTGATTGAGAGAATCATGTTCTTGTGACCCCCTTCTCCCCTTCCCACTCCTTTCTATGTATACCCCTTCCCCCTTCCCTCTCCTCTCTATGTATATTTAGTTATAACTAAATTTACTTGTTAGCTCTTTTCTCATTGGAATTGTTGCATTTCAATTTCAAATAATACATTTTTTTAAATTGTTCAACTAAAAAATTGATTTATTAGTTTGCAGTTTATCTAAACAACTTTTGCCGTGGCCCAACATAAAGTTTTGACACAAAAACTCGTGCGTCCGTTTGTTTTGGGTATCGTTTTTAAACCGTTTTTTTATTATTTTTAAAGATAACGAACCTACGTTTTTTCTTAAAAACAAAGGACTAATACTAACCATTTTTATTTAAACTTTACAACAAAAGGACTTTTTTATTTTGGTTGTAATGGAAAATTTACGAGTGTCGTGAATTATGAACTAACAGATCCGTTGGTTTTTATTTCGACGCTAATAAAATGTTCATTTCGTTTTTCAGAAACGTAAAAACTGAACGTCCTTTTTTTTTTTTTTTTTGAAAATCTTAACTAAAAGTTATGCCTTAATCACTGAATCGCCATCAATTCAATAAATTTTTATTTCTAGGCTTTTAGGGCGCTTTGCGCCCATCTTCTATTTAAATTGTGAACATGTTTTTTTTGTTTACATTTTGAAACAAAGAAGAAAAATTTTTTGCGGATTTAAAAAAAAATTCGCGGATTTTCAAGAATTTAATTTTTTTACAAAATTAAAAACCTTTAAAACACATTTTTTATCATTCATAAACCTTCCCTGTGGTCACGTGATGTCCCACAAAAAATTTGGACCCGATCGGTTCAGCCGTTTTGACGTTTATTGGATACAAACAGACAGACAGACAAGCCAAATTTATAAATAGATAAGCAAAATTGAGCTTTTTTCGCCAGATAGATTTACGAGATTAAAGCTTCAAAAAGTTTTTTTTTCTCCAGATTTACGAGAATGATGTTCAAGAACGAAGAGTAGGTTCTCACGTTGACGTGAAGAACTTGTTCCAGCTGTTCGAAGGACTCAGGTATTTTATCAAATAAATAAATGAATAAAAAATACAAATAAAAAAAAAATAATAATAAATAGATGAATAAAAAGGAGTAAAGTAAATAATAGTTATTTTGGTATTCATTTGTCTAAGGCAACAAAACAAAAATAAAAATTCAATGCTCAATTTTGATAAATTCAAATTGATTGTGTTAAACCCAAAATTTAAAATTTTTTAAATTTTTTTTTCTTTTTGGAAATTTAGCTTTTGGGGAAATGACTGAATTTTAAGGGGTAAATATAGAAAAACTTGAAATTATAAACTTCAGTTTTGCCCTCTTTAGGTTCATAAAATTATTTCCGGAGGGGTGGAGGGATGTTATGGTGAACTTTATTCATCCCTGTCTTGTTACAACCTAGTGTCAGGATAACATGTTGTTCTCCTGTTCAAACGATGTTTGTGAGTGACTGTGCGTGACTTTTTCAACATTATTAAAACTTCCTTTACCGTACTTTAAGCATATTTCTTAAAGGGACTTTAAGCGTAATTTTAAAGGTGACATGCCTGATTTACAACGGTACCCTGGAAACCTTAATGTAAATGATATCGTCGTTTTTCTGACTCCAAAGCAAGAAGCAAGAAAAGCGCAAGTCACTTCAGCGGAGACAACGAAAACATTGATATATAATTCATAATTCCTTCTGGATCAGACACAACTTTTAAGCGAACCTTTGTAAAATTGGAACTGTTACCTTAGTATGGAGGTGAGGGTTACTTGAAAGTACGCTAACAGTTCCTTTAAATGAATATTTAATGAGGCAGCATGAGTGCAAAAAAGGGACTGAGTCCAACATTTCGAAAGACTGTAAGCTTTGCTTTGAGTCGCATTTTTGCAAGATTGTTTATGTGGTCGTTGGGCGTCACTAGTCTCCTAAGAGACTGATTTGATTTGATTCGATTTACAGCAGTATTGTTAAGATCACAACTTCTAATAATGATTTAACATTTGTAAATAAGTATAGTAAAACATATATTTATAACTTGCAGTAAGATGTTAATGGTTGAAACGATTTTGCAAAATAGCATCTGTTAAGTAAAACCTATTTATTTTAGTTTTGAAGTGGAATTGTACCAAAATTTGCAATTGTCTCAGTTCCATGAAGTGATTACTGAGTTCCGGTCAAATAAACAGCATCTTGAGGTAACGATCTAATTCTCACACGAAGTAGATAGATATGGAGGGGGAATCCATCAGGTCTTGTTATATCACGTAACTAGTGCTTAAGATCTATTTCATTTTGTTGCGGATCCGGATCCGGGTCACGAACATTTCCTGAGTTTTTAAACAAATAACACGTTTTCTTCGTATGAGTGCTGGGGAACTGCACAAGCAAGTTAACCGGCATCCAATTTTCAGGTAGAAAAACAAGGAGATGTGTCGTCAATGAATAATATATCAATGTTATAAGTCCAGTTTTTAATAAAACGATAAGTGCAACCTTAAACGAAAGCCCACTATGTTTGAAGGACTTGTAAGAAATGAAAAATAAATATTTAATGATATGAAGAGGGCGTTATTGTTAACAGCAAAGCACAGGTTGCGTCACATAAAAAGGGATTGATTGTATTCGCTTTTTTTGTCAACGATCGCTCCGCTTTTAAAACGACGATGAAAAAACGAAAAACGAAATCGTCTTTTTGAAAAAGTTCGTTGTTTCGTGTACGAAAGTATGCCGTTTGAAATTTTTGACGATCGTTAGTGACAACCCTTAGTTGACGATCGTTCACGACCTTTTAAGACAAAAACATTTTTTGGTTGGAAAATCCTTAGATCAGAAATCCCATCGGTCAGAAAACATTCAGGTTATTTCTCTCGATAAAAAAAACATGTAAGACAAACATTCATAAACTTATCTTCTTGAAAGAATTTAAGTTAATTGTGTTAAAACTCGATTATTTTAGCGAATTTTTTATTTAAATATAGTTTTTTTCAAGTTCAAGATTAGAAGTAAAACTTAGCAATCTTAAATAGAATTCCGTACATCTTGAAAAATATAGCTGTAGGACAATTTTAAGTAATAAACTAACTTTTGTTTTACACTTTTACCTCCTATATCTTTGCAACTTAATATTTCCCGGGTTTACGACATCAGGTTGCAAAGAAATGAGGAGTAATCAATTCCTTTGTTTAGTCTGATATGGCGATTGTTGCTATCCTAAGCCATGGCAAGGATGGTATTGTTTACGCTGCTGACGGACAGAGTATAGATATGGAGGGAATTTATGAACTCTTTAACAACAAGAACTGTCCCTTACTACAGGTTAGTTTTTAAAAAGCAAGTAAATTTGTTAACTGATTTAAAATCAACATTCTTTAAAAACATTTTAAAATCCCGAAATTTGTTATGGTTTCTTTCACAAATGACATAAAAATTGCTTCTTTTGTTTTGGAATGACCCCGGGGCAGAAATGCATATTTGTTCTCAAATTACTCAAAAAATATATTTTAAAAAACTTTTTAGGGAAAGCCCAAATTCTTCATAGTTCAGGCTTGTCGTGGGGATTACCCTGACCAGGTAGAATTTTTAAAACACTTGACAAAAATTACGAATTTTGAAGAAAAAATCTAATTATTCAGCCTATGTTACCCAAAGGGAGGAAGGCCAGCCAAAACAATGTATCTTCCGAGCCACATTCTCCTCATTTTCTCGTCCGAGCCACCTCAGAATCCTCGTCCTTCGATTATTTTGTTTTAAAAAGTTTCCAATTCTTAAAGATAAAACTATTTTTTAGGGCATAAAATATGGATGGACTAAAGTATTGCAATGATTAAATCATGTTAGAGTCTTCATAACCCATTAGAATGTTGTCGAACTTTATTTAGGTAAAATTTAAATCTCTTCTGCCTCCGTAATGGCTAACCTTCGTGGTATTAAATAAATAGCAAAATATTCGGCATACCACTGCCTATAATTTTTCCCGTGGAACCACCCTGAAAAATTCTATGGTTTTCACTATAGTTAACAAAAAAGATTGAACTTTGAATTATTGGCGGCATTCTACACCAGGAATATCTGAAAATGCGCGTAAAAAAGGTGAACATTTTTAAAGACATTAAATTTGAAATCTTTGATTTAATTGATTTTTTTTTCGATTTACAAAAATTTGAAATTTCATTTATGCAATAACGTGGCTTGATTCTTAAAAAATAGTTTTATCTGGAAGGAATAGACACTCAATATTGAAAGGACGAGGATTTCGAGGTGGCTCGGACGAGTAAATGAGGAGAATGTTGCTCAGACGAGATATTGTTGTGTTTGGCCCCTCGTTCCCTCGTTACCCCCATGTTACCCATTGATTTCCTCAAAAATTTCAACCGATTTAGTCCAGCCGTTTGACCAGCTATAGCTAACAAATATATATGAGCGAAAAGCGTTATTATACAGACTAGCTGAAGTACATGGTGTTGCCCGTAGCATAAAAAAATCTAATAAAAAAAATTTTAGCCTTTTTTACCCCAGGGTATCCATGGCTTCCCTAAAAAATGTCAGCCGATTTGGTCCAGCCATTTGACCAGCTATAGTGCTTGGTGTTGCCCGTGGAATAAAAAACCTAATTTTGAAGAAAAAAAATCAAGCTTTAATAAAATAAGATTTAAATTCTGAGAAAAAGTCTATTATTTCAGCATATGTTACCCTCAGGGTATCCATGGGTCACCAAAAAAAAATCAACCATTTTGGTCAAGCCGTTTGGCCAGCTATAGCTAACATATAGATATATATCGCAAAGGCCTAATATGATACAGATTGCTTTTGCTTTTTTCAAAAATTACAATTAATAAGGTCTTTTGGTAATGCCAGCCACAGTTTAGTACCACCCCTTCTCCCAAGGCTAGAAAAAGTTGGTGGGGGGGGGGGGGGGGGGGGCATGGAAATGATCGGAGGCATGGTGGTCTGGGGCCAGGGGTCAAATTACAAACGCCAAATAATAATAAAAATAACAAACTTCAGAACAATATTAGAATCTTAATACTTTGTACATGATTATATATTTTAGTGTTCTAGTGGTTTGCAAATATATAAATTTGACATTTTTAATATAATTGTGTGTTAAAATGAAAAAAGAATTATATTGTTCTAAAGTTTTTTTAGTTTCATCATTATTTTGTATTTTTTGGTCTGTCTGAGAGCAAGATTAATGAATAACTAGGAATAGTTGAACTAGGAAGTCCAGGGGCCAGTTGCCTACTGCCCTCAGAAGAATAAAACAAGACTTCATCTTAAGCCTGGTGTAACTGCAAGGAGTCTAATCCCTGATGGGTATACAAGGCACAACGATACCGGTTTTTACTCGACCAGCTGTGAGGACTGGACTGCTGTGGAAGATTCCTCTCACTGGGGCTTCTTACAACTCCCCATTTTGCATAAGGTGTGCAGTTATGGGTTTTCTTAATGCCCCTCAACTTGGAAAGAGTATAATAGAAGGAGCGCAGGGAGCTGGGAGCAATCCCCAATACCCTTCCTCCTACAAACCTCCTTATCTCTCTCCTACCTGCTCCACAACATGATGTCAACAGAACTATTAGGAGAGGCTTAAAGTGTAAAAACAAGATTAACAAGAAGCAAGAAGAAGAAAATTGAACAGAAAAAAAAGTGGAATAATCTCTTGATATTAGAGATGGGGGCTTGGAAGATGTTCCCCCCCCCCGCTGGGGAGGGGGGGAACATAGATTTCAGTGGTTCAGGGTGGGCTTAGCCCCCACAGCCCCCCCTGACTACACCTCTGCTTGGTATGCTTAGCTGATCCACTTTTTTTTGTAGTTGGGCCTACTTCTCCCTATTCATTAAATTCAAACACAATTTAAATAAATTCTTATTTTTTACAGTATTTCAGTACAGTTACAGTAGTTTTGTTGTTTTATTTACAAGATATTGTTAAAAAAAAATTGTAAAGTATTATTTCCAAATTTTCAGGTTTCTAATCCCCCCCCCCCCCTCCACTCGACCTTGTTCTACCTTTATATTTTAACCTACTCATCTTAGATTATGAAGAAGAAATTATTATTTTTCTTTTTGTCTTATGATCAAATTATCTAATTATTTAGCTTCTTCTCTTAGAAAATAAATATTATAAAATAGAAATATATAGAAACTAATAATGAACCAATTAGATGATAATTTAATAACTAAAATGATGAATCATTCATTAAAGGGACTGTAGGCGTAAATTTTAAGTAACCCTAGGTGGGTAGAATTTCTTGTCCGATTCACTGTTTACACTGTACAATGTCATTGATTTATTATAGAAAAAAGGTGAAAATTGAACATTGTTTATGGTACCTTCATGTCCAGAACTCTCCGTTTCATTATTTTAAAAAACAGTCCCTTTAAAAGGGCGAATTAGTGAATTAATTCTAGGTAGTAAACTCAAGGAAAATATGCGCACTTGCCGCGTTGAATTACAAGAGAGAGATTAGTATATATTTTAGGGTTAGTTTAGGTTTAAGACACTTTCTGGGCCGAGCGCTGCGCATAGGACTGGTTAAGGGGATGAGCGCCGCGACTAGGACAGACTAGGGAGCCGAGCGCTGCGCTTAGAACAAGCTCTCTCTCTATGTCTGATAATTCAACGCGGCATGTAGCTTCCTTGGGCTTCTGCCTTAATTGTATTGTACACTGTACACAGGGTGTAGAAAGAGAAAACGAACGACCAGCGGTTGCCAAGAAAAGAAGAGCGGCAGGATTAGGTGTTTAAATATAATCAAGTCCAATTATTTTATTTTATTTTATTTTTTTTTTTTCATTTTAATTAAGCCCATGGTTTAAGAAAGTAAGAAAGAACATTTATATTTTAATATCTTTTTTCTTCTTCTGAATCCGAGGTTCTCTAAATCAAAATTTAAAATGTTCTTTCATGTCTTTTTGAATAAAAGTACTTTTCCTGGTGTGTTCATTACCTATTATTATTACACTGAAGTTGATTTTGTAATTTATTAATGAGTTGATTATTTTTAATTACCAGACAGAATCCCAAACACACCAGATGTCAGGGGCATAGGCAGAGCCAGGTAATACATATATCAGATCTAATCAGAGGCCAAAGCTTTTGGTTGGCGTTGGTGCTGAGCCATAGCGTGTACTAATTGGAGGATTTATCCCGCTATATTGGAGAGGTATGGCCGAACACGTTAAAAAAGATTTGAATTTTAAAAATCAGAAGATTTCATCTCAGATCAGAACCGAATTTAAAGATTTAATTTTGACGAGTTTTCGAACTTTTTTTGGAGCTTACGATGATCAAACATAAGTCAGGTTTATTTTACATGTCACGACCATACAGTGAAAATCTAAAATTAGGAAAATAGTGTTGTCCTGTCCTGTCCTGTCCTGTCCTGTCCTGTCCTGTCCTGTCCTGTCCTGAATATTTTCAGAAAATTAAAATTGCAAATTTTAAAGAGAGATCAAAGATGCCATACTTTCTGTAGTTTTCTGATTATCAAATGTCTCTAGGATTTTGTTAATATATATCCAAGAACATCAGGGGATATGGCTATGGGTGCTCCCCACGGATAAGTAAAATCTGTGGTTTCTAAGGGATCTTCAGACCCCCCTCTTCTGTAAAAAACATCACGAGACACTGGTTTCCATACAGGGAGGGTTATTTGATTATTATTATTATTATATTATTATAACATAGTGGTTTTAAAACATTTCAAAGTTAATCTTCAACTGGTTCAGAAGGCCATAAAAGATCATTAAAATCAAAAAAAAATATTCCCTACCGAAAAATAAGCTACAGGCTATAAAACCTTTCTTTAGTCCTGATTTTGTATCGTCATCTCGGGCCTGGTTAGTAGCACCCTTAGAGTCTGATTTTTATTTATGTTTAGACCAACTTGGGAGGATATGATAATTGCATACTCAACAATCCCTGGATACGCCTCCTTGAGAGATCATGAAAGAGGAACATGGTTTATTCAATCTCTTGTAGAAGGTAATCCCTTAATATAGGTTATAGCATAGATAGGACAGCAATAATGATAACAATAACAATGATGATAACAATGATAACAATGATATTGATAATAACAATGATAACAATGATATGGATAATAACAATAATAACGATGATAATAATAAAAAATGAGAACTAAAAGATTGATAACAATGATACTGATGATAATGATGATAATGATGATAATGATGATAATGATGATAATGATGATAATGATGATAATGATGATAATGATGATAATGATGATAATGATGATAACGATATTAATGATGACAAGGATGACAAGGATGACAAGGAAGACAGGGATGATAATGATGATAATGATGATAATGATGATAATGATGATAATGATGATAATGATGATAATGATGATAATGATGATAATGATGATAATGATGATAAGGATATAAGAATGAAAAGGTTGAAAACGATATTAATGATGACAAGGATGACAAGGATGACAAGGAAGACAGGGATGACAAGGATGACAAGGATGATACTGATAATACTGATGATACTGATGATAATAAAATGATAATATTGATGATGATGATGATTACAACAAAGATTATAGGATTGGATGAGAACAATGAAAACACTGATGAGCATAGAGTAATAAAACGAAGAGGTGAAGCTAGCTTAGCTCAGATGTACACAACCGACCTCTCTATTAATTAATTAATAGAGTGGTTGTTTGTATACATCACGATATGTTAACGTATCTAACGCTGTACACTTGTATATAGAGTGATCGTATTTCTAAGGAGTGGTTTTTATGTAGATATTTGAATATTAGTATTGATAATTAGACTTAATATGGATTGTAAACAATAAAAATGTCTTAATTTACTGCATTCATTCCCTAGAAACTTAATATTTTTGACATAACTTTTTGCTAATAAATTGAAAACTATTAATTAATAGGGAGGTTGGTTGTGTACATCTGAGCTAAGCTGCACCTCTTCGTTTTATTACTCTATGCTGATGATAACAAAATTGATAATGAGTATGATCAAAATGATCATTATGATAATAGTAATGATAATAATGATAATAATATTAATAATATTAATAACTAGCTCGTAAACCCAGCGCTCCCAAGGTTACTAAAAGTTACTCCCACCGTTTACCTACACTTGAACTATTTTACCGGGATACTAAATTTTCGCTATCCATGTCTACCTACTCAACTTTAAATCTTAAAACCAAACTAAGGACATTCAGGAGTTCCCCAATAAAAAAATTTGAGGCAAGTTCGTCCAGGCGAATTCCTGAGTTATGATCGGACAAACAAACAGACAAACAGAGATTACAAGTTTACACATTCATGTATATATATATAATGAATTGTTTCTAGTTTTTATGTCCCATGCGCACAACACAGAGCTAGTGGACTTGCTCAGGATGACCAGCGAGCGACTCTCTCACTTCTCCAACGAGCAGGTCAGATCTTAGATTGCAAGTGACTCAGCAATTACAGATTGTTACGCCCAATTTACAATGCTGAAAACGTGTAGAATTCTGACAATCCTCTTTGTTCTCTCTGCCGCTAAATCCACAAGTCACTTAAGTGAACCACCTATTAAAAATATTCAATTTTTTGCAACAAACATGAAGATAGCTCATTCAACCTTTATTTGACTTCAGTTAACGTTGTAAATCATACATTCTACTAATATATATATATATATATACATTCTGCATACATACATACATTCTACTAATATATATATATATATAAATAAACTACGGCAACAGTTTCTTATAAACTAACTCTCACAGGCAGATTAGGTTATTAAGTTATTTTTTTCAATTTTTGATCCAACTTTTACTGATCTTGCAATGTTTTTTTTTCTTCTGAAGTTTGGACAAATAAGAAATCGATTTATCTCTGGCGAGGACAGAATAAATTTAAACTATTATATACTGGTAGGCGATTATATCAATACAGTGAAGATGATTTTTAAAGTTAAATTTTAATTGTTAGCATGCTTTTTCCGAATTACACGTTTACAAGAGATCAAAGCTTTTTTAGTTGACAGCTTCTCATGACTTCTTTGTTTATGTGTATCCATGCTGTTTAACAGCTTTATATTAATCAAAATATAAATCGAGAGTCGTCCTCATTGTATTGGTATAATCGCATACCACTGTATATTTTCCAATCTTTTGTAGAACAGTTTATTAAAATTGTGACAGCTGATAATTTATTTAATTCATTCAAAGAAAGACAAAGTTAGATCTTGTGGTAATCAGTGCGGATCCGGATTTGGGCTTTCTGGATCCGATCCGCAAAAATATCCGGATCCAAGGGGCAAAATATCAACTAAAAAACGGAAAAATAAAATCTTTTTACTTTCAAAACCTTAATCTAAACTAAAAAAGATGGATTATAAAAATTTCGTGATTTCTGAATGGTTCAAGTTTTAACATAAAAATAAGCGGAAAAAAAATAATTTGACTATTCTGCTTTGTGAAAAAAAACCCGGAAAATCTTATAGATAGCTTTTTTTGTTGAAAGTTGCTTTATTGTTAGTTTGTTTTTAACACCAAGTATATTTATTCTTGGCGTGTTAGATTTTGTAAGAGCTATATAGTGATACAAAAAGTGCTAAGGATGTAACTTTAATAACTTTTCAAAGTTAAAATATATATTTTCTTGCTTGAATTAACGCATAAGCCTTGGCAAAATTTAGTGTTAAACTTTTCAGACTGCAGTATACACAAAGATTCAGCCTGCAATGAAAATTTGCACCAATTTTTAAAACAGAGTCGAATTTGATATGTCGGAACGCCTTAAGCTTTGATTTTAATGCTCTAACTCACTGCTGCTTTTTTGTAGCGCTTAACATGTACATTATAGAACATTAAAGCATTTCTTTTTAGCTTAGTTTTAAAAAATAATTGGCTGAATTCTCAGTGTTTGGCGTGAGAGCTTGCATCGTTTAAATCACTGTGTAGACAGTACATTGTACACTTTACAGTCGACAAAATTAGGATTAGAAAGTTACTAGTTAAAGGGACAGTACATTGTACACTATACAGTCTACAAAATTAGGATTAGAAAGTTACTAGTTAAAGGGACAGTACACAGTGTAGACTGTACATTGTACACTATACAGTCTACAAAATTAGGATAAGAAAGGTACGAGTTAAAGGGACAGTACACCAATTTTTAAGTAACACTCCATTTAATGTGCTACATAACTGATTAACAATTGGAGCCTTGACTAAAATATTCTGGTTTTTCTTAATGAAAATTAAAAGTTTTCAATTAGGGTTTATGCTTTTGCAATTTATACTTGGTCAGACAAAGTTATTAAGGGTACCGTTGTGAATCAGGCATTGCCTTCGTTGCATTGAGGGTATCTAGAAAACTACGCTTACATTCCCTTTAGAATTAAGTTGAGAGCCCCTTTAAACCACAATTAAAGAAAAAATATATAAGTTTTCTGTAAAATCTAAAATTATTGGACTAATCGGAAATCTATTTGAGATTAGAGATCAAACAAATTTTTAATGAACTCAAGTAATGTATTTTAAAAATAAATGGCTACTTTTAATGGACAGTTAAATAAATAACGAATTTTGGACTTTGCTTTATTTTTTATTCATCAGTTGTCTTATTCTGCAAAGAATTCTTTTACCTTTCTTTAAGGCATGGTACGTAGCGGTGCGGAGGGGGGGATAGACAAAACTCTCACGTGGCCGCAGCCCCGGCCCCTTAGCCTGTCCTAGCCGTCGCGCTCAGCCCCTAGCCTGTGCTAGCTGCAGCGCTTGGCCCCCAAGCCCATCCCAGCCGCAGCGCTCGGCCCAGAAATTGTCTTAACCTAACCTAACCCTCAATAATAAAAATTAAAAGGAGTTTTGTCTATCCCCCCCCCCATGCCTTTCTTTAAATTGTCCTGGCAGCTGCCCAAGGAAGATATGTACGCTTGCCCTGTTGAATTTCAAGAAAGAGAGAGAGATTAGTATATATTCAAGGGGGCCGAGCGCCGCGGCTAGGACAGGCTTGGGGGCCGAGCCCTGCGACTGGAACAGGCTTTCTCTCTGTTTTGTAATTAAACGAGGCATGAACACGTAACTTCCTTGAACTTCTGCCAATTGTCTGAACAAACTTTTATTTTGCGAAGAATCCTTCTCATCTTCTTATAAACTGTTCTACCCTCGGGGGTAAGAAAAAAAACAGGGGTAAGGTTTTTCTGCTTTAAACATTTAAAAAAAAAAAAAAAAACAGTTTTGTATCATCCGATGTTTTTTGTCTGGAGTTTTATGTGTAACTTTATTTGAGGTTTTATTGTTGTATTTTATCATTGGGGGGAAAAATTTGTTATTTTTCGAGGAAAAGTAAAGAATATAAAATTTGAAGATCAGATGTAATTTTTTTCAAATTTAAAAAAAAAAGTTATTAAAATAAATTCTTGTTTCTTTCTTCTTTCTTTCATATCATTTGTTCTTATTGACCTTACATTTCCTTTATGGAAAATGCTGAGTTCCATTAATTTAATATCCAACATTATTGTTCTTTGGCACTGTTTCTCTAGACCTTAATCAATATACTTCTATTTTATTAAGATTTCTACTTTCTTCTCTACTTTCCAATAAATCAAAAGGGAGCTTTATTCTTTAAAGGGGATGTAAGCGTAATTTTGTTCTTTAAGCCTGGAGACACTGGGCTTTAAAATGACCCAAAAGCTCGACCTCGTGTGACTTTAAAAATGTCTTGGTCATGAGTCGTATAATTGTTGAAGGGTTCAGAATCCAATTTCACAAAAATCTGAACACATATGGGAGAACTAAAAAAATACCCTTAAAAATGGGCTCAACTTCAATATGCCCCAAATCATGCTAATAATATGTTAGATTAAAAAAGTTTACGTTAAAGGTAGTGTTCGCGAAAAATGAAATCTAATCTTAACTCTATCTGTTACGTCTATAAGGAGAAAATTGTTAAAAACAACTAATACCGGAGAACGGAGCGTCCATACAAATTCAGAATGATGCAACATTCAACTCGGATCGTAAACAAATCAATTTAATTCCAAACAAATCATTCAGATATTACAAACAATAGTCATCGATTATTTTTCGACGCATTAGATTTAACGAATTATAAAAGAAGAGAAAAATATTAATGAATAATTGAAAGTAGAAATAAAAAACTAACATTGCAAAGGAATGATTTAAGTAGGAAAATTAAGAAGAAAATAAAGTTGAATTTTGAGATTTCAAAAAATAAGTTTTTGTTTTAGAAAAGAAAAAAAGACAATTTGTCAAATGGAATTGTTATTTTTCCTAAAAAGCCTGGTTGTTAAAAATATAAGTTATAACTTGGAATAAAACAATCCAAAAATTTGAAGATTCTTATTAAAAACGGGGAAATCCACATTTTCGAATTTCAAAAACAATGTAAAGAATTAAAAGAAATACAAATCAAATTGCTGATAAATTTGATGTGCGCGAAGCACTTTAAAATATTTTTGACGTGGAAATGTATATAAGTGCTTAATAAATATGAACTTAATACTTTTTTTACCTGCAACCAACAAGTTTTGGTAAAAAATAATTCTTAAACAGAAGACAACACTTGTATTGTTGTTGCTAATAATCAAACCCCTTGGCACTACAAACTAGTCAGAAGGAGAAAGTAAAACGACTTTGTGATCTCGTAGCCCCTACAGTTTTGATTTTCCGTAATAGGGTGAGAAAAGAAAATTTTCCGGTTACAAAAAATGAAAATCTCTTAAACTCTTGAATAGGAGGTGTTGTGATTAAAAAAATATTAAGATTTTTACTTTAGTTTGGTGTGTTGGCAACATTTTTCATAGATCCATATATTATGTAAAATAGAAAAGAGTATTTCTGTTCTTAACAGGACTAAAGATGTAGTTTCAAGTAAACCATAATTTATAGGTTGTCATGTCCGGTTCACAATGATACCATTTAAATGTTGAGAAAGATATTTTAATTATTATTATTATTGATTTTGTTCTTTAAATAATATTTCGCTGGCGCCGGATTTTCGAACATTCCTAGAAATTATGAAAAAGTCGTCTTTATTATCAAAAATCCTCGAAACAGGAATATATGTTTTCATAAGTAACTCTCAGATCATAAAATTTTTTTTTTTAAATATTAAGAAATATTAACTACATACGAATGCGTCGAAAAATAATCGATCAATATTGGATGTAAAATCTAAACGATTTGTTTGGATTAAAATTGATTTTTTACGATTCGAGTTGAATGTTGCAACTTTCTGAATTTGTATAGACGCAACGTACTTATACGTACGCAACGGTATGAGTCATTTTTAACCATTTTCTCCTAATAGACGCAACAGATAGAAGTAAGATTAGTAGCGATCAAAAGCGCTTATTTTTCGTCTTAAGCCTTCACCCCCCTTTCATTTTTTGCGAACACTCCATTTAATGATCCAGTATGCAAGCTCAATGGAGCGGTATAATGATTTTTCAAGACTTCATTATTTACCTTGATAGCTTTAATTTGAAAGTAAAATTGGACTGGGGGGGTGTGGAATATATTTTATATAGAATATATTTTTCGTCTAGAGTTTTCTGTTTATCTTTTAAACATTTTAATCTGAGTTTTAACATTTACAAATATTAAATACTTTTAATAATTTTTTTTGTAACCCAACATGAATGGTTTAGGAAAGCCTGGTGAATTTTTATATTATTGTTTTTCAAATTTCTTTTTAACTACGCACCATCATAACATCTTTTGTTTTGATGGTTTAAAGTGTAAAAAACATCTGTATTGAAGACCTTATCAACCCCCCCCCCCCTCCGTGGTTCAAGGCCTAGGGGGGGGGGGCTTGTTTATTTCTATAGAAATCAATAAGTGGTGTTATATAAGAAAGGTTTTTAATTTTGCAAAAGTGTGAAATATGTTTTTGAAAAAAAGAAAAAATATAATTTCCGGTTGCTTATGAAAAATGAATTTAAAAAAGGATATAGGAGAAACTGAGATTTTGTCACAAACTCTGATTTTTCAATGCCTATATCAAATAATCAGCCATCAGTTTGCAAAGATATAGGGATAAGAAAATTTGTGTCTAAAACTCAGTTCCTCTTTAAGATTTTTTGTTTGTTCCAAGTTTTAATAACTATCAAAGAATAAAAAACAAATAAGCCTAAGCTTACCAGTCATTTCAGTAACTATGATTTAAAGGGTTCAGGCTCCCAAGTAAAAATGAATAAAACCTTGCCAATTACTTCTCAAAAACCAAAGATAACGGAAAGTGTTTAACAATGCTAAAATTTGCATGTAAAGGGCTACAGAAAAGCATAAGTGAGATAGAGTAAAATCAAAGCCTAAGGCGTTGCGACACTTCAAAGTCGACCCAGTCTTAAAAATTGACGAGACTGTTTATAAGCAGGCTGAATCTATGTTTCGATACGGAGCCGATGTTCTTCAGGGACATGGAGAGCTACCCCCTTTGTGTTTTAACCATTTCAACGCAGTGTAAGATATTAAAAGCAATTTTATAACATTTAAAATTATTAGTTTACATAAACAAATGCCATTTAGTTCTTAGATGTATTATTTAAGGGAAACACAACTAAAGTTAATAGTTATTTTCTCACAAATGTCGTCTTCCTTTCAAAGTATCAAACAATCATCTTATTTCTTCAAAGCGTAGATAACTTTTAATGCAAATGCCCAATCAAATAAATAGTGACAAGGGTCGAAAGATTGCTTTTTATGTCTAAAATTGTGTTATTATGGTTTAGACACTAGGTGGTATAGGCTCTCCAGTTTGTACATGATACCGGGCTCGCAGGGAAACAAATGTGTCTGAAATTAGATTTTCAAATTAATAACATTGTTTTTGTCTTGGTTTTTTTAATAAATTTTTTCTTTTAACCATCTACGTAGTCCTTCTATCTTGGGGGGGGGGGGGGTTGAGATCCCAATTCAGCTAACCCCAATATTTTCGAACTTGTTTACTAGGCTAGTTGAATTTATAGAATTTTATATAGGGGGAGAAGCAGACTTGCAATGTGGAAATGAGACATCTCTACAAAAGAATTTATTTTAATCCAGGTAACCTTTCTAATTGATATTTATTTTATTTTTTCTCATTGTTCCGAAAGTTTTTTTGTTTTGTTTGCGAAGTTTCCAATTCCAGGTTTAAGTGTTGATGTAAATAAATAAATATTGGAGAATGAAAACCTTTTTCTTTAGTTTTACCATCAACAAAACTATAAAATGCAGCGCAGAATGCAGATTGCAGATCCGGCACACACAAAAAATTAAAAATCTTTAATCTTTAAAAAAAAAAATATATCCGGATACAATCCTCGTCACCAGTGCTTAGGATCAATATAATTTTGATGCGGATCCGGGGTAGGGGGGTGGGGTCAACTTTGTTGAGAATATAAGGAAAGTACAGCATTTGAAATGGGAAAATGATATCTCTATGGTGGTTAAACCAAACATTTTAAGATTCTAGGCGGTGACGACGGATTACATCCCTTGGTCTTAGTTCTTTGTTTTCCTACAGTGCACAAATACCTGAAGGGAGTTTTATCTGATTATCTTAATTTTCCTGAAAAAAATTTTTTGTGGGAGACATATTTAATTTTTCTTTAACAGTATGTTAAGGAAAGGCAAGAAATATTTTTAGGAATAAAAATAAGAAAAACAGGTTAAATTTGCTAGCTTATATCCCTACTCATAAAGAAGATTGTTAATAATATTTGATAAAAATAAAGAAATTAATTAACAAACTTTTTTATATTCATTTTCGTGTATTTGTTTTTTGTACTTTTCTTTTATCATATGTAATCCAAATCTAATCACGATGCCATTAAAGATGTAATACGAATCGTGTCTTGAAGTAAATGAATAATTTTCACGTGATCATGTTTTTTTTTCTTATTTTCCAGCCAAGAAACTTGGGTTTTTCGGGAAAATCTGGACTTCCCCCTAACTAGAAAGTTAATGGAATCCATGTTTATTACTCCGGAGATTGAATGAATTAAATTAGATTTTACCTGTAAAATATAGCTCTCACAGTACACTGTTAAAAATGCTAATTTTTCGCGGATTTGTTTAAAATGTTTGGCTGATTTCATTGTGTAGTAATTACATACAGGGTTACCCACAAAGGGCAAACTTTCAATGACGACCAAAAATACGTTGACTATGAGGATTATAGGTTTAGCCTATAATGTAGAGATTGATTTTGATTTTAGATTGCTAAAAACTATAAATTTAAAGAAAAAACCCACAAATTCTGTAAAGTCATTTCTGAAAATTCATAAAAGATATCGGGATTCTTTTTTTATAATACTTGGTGGGATTAAGACAATTTGTGGAATTGTAGCTGTAAATAAGACTTCTATTTTTTATATATTATGGTATTTTTCAAGGTGAAAAAACAGTCTAATATAAGATTTTCTTTCATACTGTCTGATACTGATAATTCAACTTATTTAAAAACAGAGATAGAGGGAAAAATATGTACATAAGTTAAACACACGCAGCCCACACATTGTCGTCTACGCACGCTCTGTTACTGAAACTGTGCACACTCTCACATACAAAATTGAGCAGTTTTTTACTCCCTTTATGCTTCAGCTATAAATAAGCCCGTTGCATTTAAAAAATAAAAATGTCTATGGCTACAAAAAATTAAAAGTGAGTTTGTGAGCTAAAACCGAAGGACAAGGTGGTGCGACACTTTAAAGTCGCAGCTGTCTAAAAATTTGATGACTAAGTTTCAGAGTTGTCAATATCTCAGGACTGTTTATTGTGAAATAGCTTGGGGACCCAGCTTTGCCTGGGAACTAAAATTTCCCAATAAACGTTAACCTACTTAACTTGGAATTTTTAAATCAACCAAACAATATTCCCGTGATTTTACCGAGTTTCCCATCATCAACCTCGAAGCTTCTATAGTTTTGACTCTAGCCACGGTGGACCAAGCCAGTGGGGTCGGTCAAATAGGCCCAGGATTAGGCCGGGTACTGTAAAAAGTCTGAACGCGCCATGGGAGTTTTCTTAGTTAGCCCTCCGACGGGACTATGCTAAGAAAATTGACCCCTGTAGTATGTTAGTCTGGTTAGAGAGACGTACTGTACCATAGGATCGGGTAAGTACATGCTGTTATCTGGCAGGCTGGTACAAACTGGGCAGGTCCTGTTCGAATTCAAATTTACTACGGGGATAGAGTGTAACACAGAAGTAATGAAAAAACACATTTTTTGACTAAATATAAAAAATTAAAAAACATTTTTGCTGTTCGCAATAACTTTTCAAAAAAAGGGTTTATGATTAAACTTACAAGTTTACCTTAGTTTAGCTTAGCTTACTTGTTTTCGTGAAAATTTTTATATTTACCAATCCAAACTTTATAACGTATATTAGTAAATGCGTTTCTCTGCCCAGATCTAATCATAAACAAATATGTTTTCAATAATATCATACAAAAATACATTAAATAACCACGTTTACATAAATGCTCCTATTTACAAAAGCATAAAAAATGTTCGTAATAATAAACGCAAAATTATACAAATGAATACAATATTTTTACGCATATCAGATCTTTGAGAGATAACAATAGTAACAACTTTACAACTAATTTCCCTTTTAATGTTAAAAAAACTGTCCAAGGCTTCAAAACTATAGAATGTTTAAGTCTGTTTTTATCAAACTTTAAAATATTTTCATCCTTAAAAATTAAGAAGACAACCCAAAAATTATCGTTACAACATATTCGTTTCGGAATATTTTTTTTTCTCGTTTTTTTTTACTACCGACAAAGGATGAGACGACTGTACGGAAATCGTTCTGACTGTTTCGTTATATTAATGAATGATTCCATAAACTTTTAGACATGTTTCATCCTTTAACCTTGAAATTGTCATATTTAAAGAGCTTTAGGTCGTCTTCCTAGTCTCATCCTTTGTGGGTAACCCCATGTATTATATCTATAAATATATAGTTGTAATCTATGTCTGTCTGTTTGTTTGTCCGATTTTAACTCAGGAACTCCTGGACCGATTTGCCTCAAATTTTGATTGGGGAACTCATACGACCCACAGGAATGCTCTTGGATTGGTTTTAGTTGAGTGGGTCGATTTTAACAGCGAAAATTTAGTTTCCCGATAAAATCGTCAAGTGCGGGTAAACGGCATGAGCAACTTTAGTTACCTTGGCAGCGCTGTGCTCTCAAGCAAAATTTTGGTCCTGAAAGCAATAAACAGGCAAAAAACTGGCAAAAGACGACCCAACTGACGGTCTAGCTACTAGCTAGTCATACCAAATTATCTTTGGCACAAACTCTAATTTTCTAATCCTTCTTTGCAACTCAATGTCTGAGACCTTAGATATTTCAAACTGCTAACCCTGTTGGATCTAATAATTTAAGTTTAAAAAATATCAAAGATTTACACCAACAGGTTGAAAGTTATAGAGGTAAAAAAAACTAAGACTTAATTCCCTTGATTGAATTTTTGTTTGTAATACGATATAAAGTGTTCTTTTAATCTATATTTAATAATGAAACTAAATTCTAAAAAATTCGTCAATTCTAAATTCTAAGGTTGTAATATGTATATATATTAATGTATATATTGTATATCCTCCGAATACAAGACAGTGGTTGAAAGCAGGTATAAAAGTTTTTAAAAGTTTTATATGAATTCCTCACAGTACACAAGAAACTGTAAACAATGCATGATATAATAACTATTTGTTGGCAACATAAAAACTCAGTACACAATACAGAATACACAGTACACAATACAGAATACACGGTTCGCAATACAGAGTACACAGTACACAATACAGAATACTCAGTACACAATACAGAATACACAGAACACAATAAAGAATACACAGTACACAATACAGAATACACAGTACACAATACAGATTACACAATACACAATACAGAATACACAGTACACAATACAGAATACACGGTACACAATACAGAATACACAGTACACAATAAAGAATACAAAGTACACAATACAGAATACACAGTACACAATACAGATTACACAGTACACAATACAGAATACACAGTACACAACACAGAATACACAATACGGCGTTGGGACATTATATTTTTTTCTTTTCTTTTCATCTTCATCTTTTCTTTAAAAATCTTCTCTGTCTATTAAATGTCTACTCTATTTAATGCGCCATCTTTGAAATGTCAAATCTATGAAATCTTTTTATCGTCATATTTTTCATATTAAATTAGCATATATATTATAAACAAAATTAACTGGCAATTCACGCACCTCTGCCCCTTTAGTAAAAGTAAATTCAACCTATATTACGCATAAAGTCTGACCGCGTCAACCTTGTTGCATCGGCTAGTACTGTCCAGTGTCCATAGAGCTAGGTACAGTACAAACTGGGACCGGAAAGGTTCACCCGGCTCGGAAATTCAAATGTACTAAGGCTGCCCGTGAATTTCGTAGAACCAAACACCGTCCAACAAGTTTAATAGCCAGGCCAGCTTGGGCGTCCCTGTAAAAATTATTCACAGGTGCTTTTTTTGAATAGCTATATATGAAAACATCCAGAAAAAATACCAACATTTCGGCAGTTGAAAAAATAGTTTTGTTATATAGAATAAATCTATTTGTTTATAACATATCAGTACATGGAGGACTATAGGGTCAATTTGAATTCCAACCGGACCGGCACCTTGTACCAGCCTTAGTGACACGCGACAAGTACTGCCCCGCCCCTATCCTCTGTTGTCCCGGTTCAACTTTGATGGCGCGACCAGATGTTTTACGGTAACCGTCCCTTACATAGGCCTAGTTTACCTACCCCCACTAGTTTAGTTTTGTGAAAGTACAAAGTACACAATACACACAACGAAAAGTACACACAATACAGAGCACATACAGTAAATAGTACACAATACGGTACATCTGAGCTAAACTACTGTACACGGTATACAATATGTATAACACATTGTTCATTGCAAACTATTAGAATACAAAATAAATAATTTCCATATATTAACAATAAAAATGTGTTTTTTCATAGATTTTTATATACTGGAAACGAGATTTTAAGCAAAGTCTAAACATGCCGTTTTTTGGGTTAGTATCTTTAATCAACAAATATATTTGGCCTTTTAAAGGGACTGTTTCTGTTTTTTTTTCGAGTGACAACCATTTCAAGTTATGATTGTAAATCGGACTTGGTCCTCTCCAAATGGAGGGTTTCTGGAAATTAAAATGACAGTCCCCATTACTTGTCAAACTAAAGTAAATTGCACGTAACTTTGGAAATTAGTTTTAATTATTATCTTATACAGATTTATTCACATACAAAGATATACATACATATATAAATGGTGTTATTCACAGAAACTCTTATCTAGTCAGAAAAACGACGTTTATATCTTCCACAATTTTAAGGTTACAGTTGTAAATCGGGCATTGCTATCTTTGCATGGAGGGTCACTTGAAATTATGGTTACAGTCCTTATAAATAGGCAATTTATTGTATTTATAGTCTTGGGAGAAAGAAAAGTAATTCCAGCGGAAATCTAAATTCTTCAAATAGTACAAATAATAAACATGAAGACTGGTCTGCACACAACTTCCAGGTCAGATTTTTTATAGAAGAATAGAAAAAAGTTATAGGTATTTCCCAAGGGCGCCTTCCCAACTGTCAAGTTCCCAAGCGGCAACTTCCCAAAGGTTATGTTTGGCCCTCTGCAATTCTGAATTGAGTCGGTTTATTCTTACAGGCAAAACTTAGTTTTCCCAGCTAGTATTAAGTTTTTGCCACAAATTCTAATTTTCTATAATCTTTTAAAACTTGTTTTCCAAACTTAAGATTAAATTAACCTTGAGATTAATAAAAGAGGAGATCAAGCATTGAACTCAAAATCTATAATTCAGAACTCATAACTCAGTTTCTTAAATTAATCGTTGTTGTTCTAGGAGTCACAGTTAGTTCAAGAAAAAGAAGAACTCCAAGCAAGGTAAAATTCTATAATTTTTTTTTGTCGGGATCTTCGAAAATAAATGTTTCACTCAATTTACATCATCGATAAAACAAAAATAAGCTGAACTTTAAATATTTTTATATACGTTATAAACATGGTAACATACAGGGCAAAAAAAAATATTAAATATATTCAAAATTTGAGGTAAAACTAATTATAACAATCGATTACAAAGTACACCCTGAGATCTGTATTGACATATTTTGATCTCTCTTATTCAAAATCCGTCGAAAATAGCGTAAAAACATCAAGATTAAGTAGAAACCATAGTTTTAAATCTTATCTAAAATATCTTAATAAACTAATGAAATCCACGAACTGTAGTAAGAATGCGGGAGATATTTTTCTAGAAATCAAGATTTCTACTTGATGCCCTGTAAATGATGATTAGAAGTGTATGTGAGGATTTATCATGATAAATTAGTATAATTTATTTGGGATGCACTTTCAACACCTACAGAATACTGACATTTGTAAATTAAAGTAAAAATTCAGAATGCTCTTTGACTTCCTTTTACAGGTTCTCTTAGATGTTTGTGCTTTTATGTTTTCGGTAAAAAATTTGTTTGATTAAATGTTTTTTTCAAGTTTTTTTGTTTTATTGTTATTGTTTAAACGTTTTTATTTAAATTTTCTTGTTTAAATGTTCTTGTTTAAATGTTCTTGTTTTAATGTTTTTGTTTCAATGTTCTTGTTTAAATGTTCTTGTTTAAATGTTTTTGTCTAAGTTTCTTGTTTAAATATTCTTGGTTAAATGTTTTTGTTTAAATGTTCTTGTTTTAATGTTCTTGTTTTAATGTTCTTGTTTAAATGTTCTGTAATGGGAGGGGTGGGAGCGGTATTCTCCCCCCCCCCCCCACCGTGTCGGCATAAACCACGATGGCACAAACCTACCTCGTGAAAGTTTATTCCCAAAATGGCGATTTTTATTTTGTAAATAGAGACTAGAGAGTGAGTAAAAAAAATGGATAAGCTTTGAATTTCATGTATAATTAAAATTAAAATGTGACAAAAAATCCGTGAAACCATTTTTTTAAAATGATTTGTGAATGTTTATTTTGTTTTTTTTCCAAAATTTAAGAAAAATTCATAAAAATTAAATGAGATATGACAAAACATTTAAATGAAAATCTACATGCATTCGGTTTTAATTCAGAGCACAATATCAAGACTCCTAAATTTTCAGCATATCAGCACCCATGCGGGTCTTTTCAACCTTAGAATACACTAAAACGGAGGCTGGGGGGGNGGGAAGGTTTAGAAATGAAATTATTCAAGAATTCTAAGATAAGTGTGAGCAGTCCTCTTAGAAAACCAAATATTTTTTTGCCGATTTTTGTCATATCTCTCTCATTCAATTTTTGATAAATTTTATGAAATTTTGGAAAATAATAGAATACACACTTTCTTTAGAAAATCTTTTATAGACTTTTCATTTTTTTTAAATATTTGGGTTTTTTCAACATTTTAAGATATTTTTTAATGTTTTGTGTCATATTTTAATGTTTTTATACCTAACATTCGAAGCAAACAAAAATTTTGAGAATTTTGAGCTAAACATCTCTAATCCAGGTTTTTTACTCACCCTGTAGAATTCACAAAAATTAAAAAATTGAAAAAATGATAATTTTCTTTAAATACTTCAGAAATAAGGATTTAGAGGAAGAGAATAATCTGCTACAACTTAAGGTTTGAATTTAAAAAAAATAGACTTTTAGGGCGGCCCGTTTTTTATTTCAACTTTTAATTTTGGCTCTATCTTTGATCATCTTTTCTTTGTGCAATATAAAGCAAAAACAAAAACAATCGCGGATTCAATAAAATTTTTTGGCGCATTTTTAAATTTTACAAAAGCAAAAACTTTTGGACACAAATTTTTGTAATTTTGAGCAGAATAACTAGATTTTAAAATAATTTTCTGATATATCCGATCAGAACTGATAAACCGATTCGCCTCAAACTCGAGAGAACCAAGTTCTTAGCTTGGTTTTAACATTTTTTAAGTTTTAAGTTAAGAAAAAACCTAACTACTTTAAGTTATATCAAATTAATATTAACTTTACACAATAAAATAATTTATTTTGCATCATTATGTAAAGCTGTGTATATAAATCTTATGTGATATTAGTATGTGCTAAATTGATTTGAAATTATTTGTTTTAGGATGCAGAGATAGAGAGTTTAAAGAGCTCTATAGAGAATATGCTCCCAACCAAACTTAGATTGATTTAACTATAGTTTATATTTTATTTAATATTTGTAATTAAATATATTATTATTCCATAGACAAACGCTAGACAGGTCACATTTATACGATATAACTAGCAGGACTTTGGGACCTCGTAGCGTCTCTAATTTTAATTTTACACAAAAGAAAGTCTATTAAATTACATAGTAAAAATTCTAAACGTCACGCTAAACTAAAGTGAATTGAACTTAAGACTGAAATCTTAAATGTGTTCGATCATGATTCATTTTTCTTGAATAGCTAGCTATTAAGCTAAACAAAACATTTTTGAATAAGTAATATGTAACCGGATATATGTAACCGGATATATGTAACCGGATATATGTAACCGTATATATATAACCGTATATATGTAACCGGATATATGTAACCGGATATATGTAACCGGAAATATGTAACCGGATATATGTAGTCTAATATATGTAACCAGATATATGTAACCGGATATATGTAACCAGATATATGTAACCGGATATATGTAACCGGATATAATATGTAACCGGATATATGTAACTGGATACACGTAACCGGATATATGTAACCAGATATATGTAACCGGATATAATATGTAATCGGATTTATGAACCGAATATATGTAACTGAATATATGTAACCGGATATATGTAAACAGATATATGTAACCGGATATAATATGTAATCGGATATATGAACCGAATATATGTAACCGGATATATGTAACCGGATACAGTAACCGGATATATGTAACCGGATATATGTAGCTGGATATAAACATTTTGGTTTTTAACTTAAAATGAAAATTTATCTTAATTTGACATTTTGTCTATAGACAATTGTGAATAGAGAATAACTTCAGCGAATTGAAAAAGTATAGAATTGCACAGAAGAAAATTAATTAAATTTCGCGGAGTTCCTTTTAAAGAGGTTTCTTTAATATTTTCTATTCAGATTACAAAATGAAAAATAGTATTATAAGAAATTTAAATATTTAAAAATACACCTTAGTTGAAAAATTCATGTTTGCAAAGACTCAAAGAAGTTTGTAGTAAGATTTCAATTCTGGAGGGATTCCATTTTCACTGGAGAGGTTTAAAAAGTCACTTTTTTCAACTTTACGCATGGTGATTTGCAATCCACTGGAGGGATTCAGATATCTATCCAGGGGGTTTATAATTCCACTGGAGGGATTCGAGATATCCTTCCTAGTGGTTTATAATTCCACTGGAGGGATTCAGATATCTATCTAGGGAGTTATATGTATAATTACTGAGTTTGAGTGCAAAGTCGACATTCAAAATCATGAATTTGGGTGTTTACGTTTTAGAATCGGTTTTTAAAAATTATTTAATAACGACGACAAAAAATAAAGTAAAAATTATACTTAAACTAATTAGATGGAACATATTTCTTAAAAGAAATTTGTCAATAAATCAATGCTAGGATCAATTATTTCGTTTTCATTATTATATTGAATTTCTTATTTTCTATGAATTTATTCGCAGATTTCTACAAATTCTTCAAATGTCTTCTTTTCAATAATAATTCTAGAAAATCTGCAGACAATCTTTGTGAATAATGAGAAACAAGAATAATGAGATAATAGAAACTAATAATTGAACAAGATTACTTATTTTCGATGATAAGATTAATTTTTATTATCTCAACATGTTCCTAAACAACTAATTAGTTTACTGTAGAATTTTGTGCAGATTTTTTGTCGTCGTTATTTAATAATTAAAATAATACAGCTCTGAAAACGTATCCACCCAAAAGTACGATTTGAACGCCGACTTTGCGCTTAAACTTACGATTTACAGATCTTTAAAAAGTTTTATATTTCTCAAATAAATCCTAAAGAATTTGTCCACAACACTGCATTCTCAGTTCAACTACCTTACATAGCCAGTCTCTCCCTTTAAATCTTTATTAGATATCGTTATGGTACCCATTTAGGGGTTGAAAGAAGCTTTGATTATGGGAGGAATAACTACAATCCGAAATTAAAAGAGCCCATAGTTGATATCGAGATCAAGGTATCGGGATTATGAGTGTTCAACACAAAAGTTCCCAGCTCAGGTCAATGAAAAATAATCTAAAACTTTTATTAAAATGTACGCAATGCAGATAATAATGTAATTTAAAAATATGTAATTTGTTAATAAAGAATAGTAAATTTATACATTTTCTCATTGTAAACAAAGAAAATAAAATTTCGCGGATTTAAAAAATTTGCGGATTTTCAAGATTTTAAAGTTTGTTAAAAAGAAAAAAAACTTTTAAACACAAATTTTTAAACTTTTTTCATTCATAAACCTTCCCTGGGGTCACGCGAGATCCCACAAAAAAATTGGGCCCGATCGGTTCAGCCGCTTTGACGTTTATTGGATACAAACAAACAGATACCCAAGCCAAATTTATAAATAGATACTTTGCCTGTCTGTTTATAAAACCGATAAACGTCTTAACGGGTGAACCGAGCGGGTCAAAAAATTTTATGGGTCAAATTTTTTTGTGGGACCTCACACGAACCCAGGGAAAATTTATGGATGGTTAGAGTTGAAAATATTTAAAACTTAGATTTTTCCAAATTCATGAAAAAAAGGTGTTGGGTTATTTCATAGAAAGACATTTCATAGATGGACATTTCATAAATAAAAAAAATTATTAATCTAACATTTCATAGATAGGACATTTCATAGATAGGACATTTCATAGATATGATATTTCATAGTTAGGACATTTCATAGATAGGACACTTCATAGATAGGACATTTCATAGATAGGATATTTCATAGTTAGGACATTTCACCCAACTTTAAAAAAATCTACAAAAGAGCAATATTAAAATCAAATATGGGCATGAGGCACCTTGGAATTATTGAAACAAATTGAAATAAATTTACGGAATATTTAAAATAAAAACCAAAAAGTAAAAATGGAAGAAAAAAAATATTAATAATAATAAAATAGTTCTTATGAAATTATAAATTTAGTTGGAGCAGATTTCAGCCAGTCTTGCCAGTTTAAACTAATGAACTAAAGTTAAAAGTTTAAGCTTAGGTTTATTAAACTGAAAACTACAATTAATCTGTGTAACTTTTTACATGTTGAGCAAACTGCACTAAAAATCTGCAGGTATTTTTTTATTTAACAGAGGGTGAACTGAATCTGTTTTGCATACACCGACTAAGCCAGAGAATCCTAGTTTTGCTTTCAAATTATTGTACGTTTGAATATTCTGATCCATACATGAATATTTTCAACATTTTTTTAGAAACAAAAATTCTTTTATTTTTAAATTCTCATCTTTAGTTTTTCTTTTAAACTATTTGGTATTCATTTAAATTCAAGGTTTATGATAAAATATTTACTATTTTTTTCGACTTTTTAAACTGTTTTCCTTTTCCTTCCCTTCGTACATAATTGAATGATATTTTCTTTATGATTTTCATTATTCACTGTTTCATGGAATTCCAAAATTATTAAAAAATTTATGTTTTTGAGACACCATTAATTTCTAAATTATGACCGACCGTCTCCTCTTTTCTTTATCTATTTACAAAACGTAGTTATCTCTGTTTGGGTGTCTGTTTGTTTGTTTGTCTGATCATAAATCAGAAACCCCTGGACCGATTTGATTAAGGAGCTCGGTAGAACCACGGGAATTTTTATGAGCTATTTGTCCAGGCAAAGCTGGGTTCCCCAAATAGATTATCAATCAAGGACTAGAATATATTTGGGGTTCCCCAGCTGGGGTGTCCCAAACAAAAGCTTTTTATGGTATTGTCGCTCTCATCATGGTTCGTTTTTTAAATTCGGACATTTTCGAAATTTTCTTAATATTTAAGACTAATGAACATCAATTACTAAAGTTTATTTTGACTCATGGTTGAGTGAGTAAACCTGTTAAATTCAATGTTCATACTGTTCCCATATAAAGATGATATGAAATACAGAAAATCTAAAGCCTAAAAACTGATGTAAGCAAAGAGAATAGAATATATATTAGAGGGGAATTTACTAGAAAAGAAGTGTAAAACGGCCATTTTGTTGTACTGTTTCCATACTGCAGGTGTACTTCACATATTTATGCTATATAACCTTTTGGGCCCTGGAATATCATTTTATAGAAAATCTAAAATTAATGTTATAAGAAAACCAAATTATGAAAGTAAATCTACAGAGTACAGGAAAAAATGTATTTACAAGTAAAAACTGAGCAAATAAAAATGATACTAATGAATCATTGAATATCGGAGCTCTCTGACGGACTCTCCGCCTTTCATTCGCCTCGTACGACGAGTTAACCTTTCGTCTCCGGTTTCTTCATGAACAATAACTTTTGGTTTTGGTTTTAGCCCAGGCCAATTCTACTTCCATCTGCCTCATGTCAAGCCGTGGCTCATGCCTATTGGCTTGAATTCAAACTTACAAAATAAAATTCCCGCTCCAACATCGGCTTGG